GACGCCGGACCACACAGATATTCGGCCACTCAGCAAAAATCGAGAGAGCTTGTTTGGTAAGTGTTAATGCGTCCATCATATAGTTCTGCCCGCTCAAGCTGACGCGCTCCTTAAGTTAACATTAAAAAAAAATCTCTTATAAGTATTTAGGCACTTGATATTTATTTATGAGTTTTTATTCGACTATGGGCTCTCAAAAAGCCAAAAGGTATTGCATAATAATAATAATAATGTCCTCCAGACCGAATTTCGGTCACGGCGGCCAGTCTCAACGGAGACTAGCCATCTGCGCAGGACAGGATTATAGTGCCCAAGTGTTTGCGCAAGCACAGGTGCACTCTCTATTCCCTCACTCTCATAGTCCGATGGGACGGTAAACCGACACGACCGGAGAGAGATCAGGCGCAGGACCAACGGCTTAACGTGCTTTCCGAGGCACGGGGGTGAGACACCGCCAACTTCCTGACTCCGGGCTGCTAATGAGAATTTCTTGATAGAAAAACTCAATAACTGATTTTTTTGGCCCGACCCGGGATTCGAACCCGGGACCTTATGATCAGCAGTCGCACTACTACAGCCACTAGACCAACGAGGCAGTCATTCAGTTTCTGACGCCATAGTTACAGATTTATTATTTCATTAGTGACCCGATCACAGATACGCAGTTTTCGTTTGCCGATGACCATAAAAATTCTTTCGGTGTAACTCCCAGTACTATTGACTACCTATTAATGCAAGATAAGTATATACTGGTTAATAGTTTAATACTTGGTCGTTAAAAGATAGATATTGAAAGTAGCAGCACTTCTCGTTGCCATTCTTTCATTAATAATGAAGTCGCGTGTCACACGTTAGTAAATAGCAAAAAAATGTGAAACAGAGAAGTGACGGCTCCGTGGCGCAGTGCCTTAGTAACGAATTGCAGCGCTAAGGGCCGCGGGTTCGAATTCCGGACGGAACAAGTATTTGTATGGCCTACAAACAATTGTTTTTGGTCTGTTCTGTATGTATGTAAACTGTCCCTGCGATACAGGAGAAAATCGTAGTGTGAAGGTAACGTTTTTTAAAAAGAGAGGAAGAGAGACAACTAATAAAATTAAAAATTTTGTACAACCGACTTCAATACTAATACGCATTATTAAGGATGACTCCAAAACTACTGGTCAGATCTTGATCAAATATATCCTATAAATATTTATAGGATGTATAAATTATAAGCTTTCAAATAAAAATATAATCATCAAAATCGATTCACCTAGAAAAAAGTTCTGAGGAAACACATAAAAAAACAGTCGAATTGAGTGCCTCCCCCTTTTTTAAATCGGTTAAAATGGTAAGTAGGTAAATTATCTGAGTTTCAAAGACGTTCACGTTGTTGTAATCTTAATTTTCGTCGATGTTGCATATTAACCTTCCTCACATTGAACAATAAAGTTTTTATTATTAGCAAATTGATGGCTCCGTGCCGCAATGGCTTAGCAATGAGTTGCAATGCTGGGGCCCCGGGTTCGATTTCTACACGGAACAAGTATTGGTATGGCCTACAAATAATTGTTTCGAGTCTAGATGTTTGTCCCTGTGCAATTTATGTTTGTTAAATACCTTCACGATACAGGAGAAAATCCTAGTATGGAGGTAACGTTTTTTATTTTTAACAATATAAAAAGAGATAAAAGAAATACTAATACAGTGCATAACACCTCGGTATATTCTATTATATACCAAATAATATCAAAGGATTCAATTTGTTTTCTCAGAACACCTAACCCTAGGATATAAGCGGCCTTAACAAAAGCGTTTAACGGGCTAAGTGATACAGACACTCGTATTAAAAAGTATCCGTATTATAATAATGCGTTACATGGTTACAGTCGAGCTAGCGCAAGAAAAAAAACAGAAAATTTTATTTTATATTAATAATATAAAATAAAATTACTACAGCGCAGATAGCAGACTATATTAAGTAAATAACAGGCTGCTAGTGCTATATTTTTCTGCCTGTTTAATCTGTTGTGTAACGTCAAGTTGAAGCATCAGTGGAGTTTTGGCGGGAAATTGACCGGCGGCGGTTTGCTGCTCCTGTATTATTGTTTAAATAATGGTTTGAAGTGGACTTTGATATGTAAAAGTGTTGCGATTTTGTGTATTAAGTGTCTACGCATGTGAACTATTAGTGGAAACAGTGAAACAAGTGCTCTGATGGTGATGGATTCTCAAGATAAGCTGTTTGTTTGCATAAGCACCTTTAGATACCATCGCCAACTATCAGCTGTCTGCTGGATCAAGTTGCCGCCAAAATCTCCCAAGAACTGCACAATGTGACGCATCAACATATTGTGAAGCAGTATACTATGAAGGAGTGGGAAAATTACAATAAACCGAATAAAAATACTTAAGACTTGGCCTAAAGGTCTAGATACCAGGCCATAAACTCCAAAAAAAAATTGAAGCATCAGTCAGCAGGGTTCCCAACTTAAGGATTTTCCCCTTAAATTTAGGGGGATAAATAAGTGGGATGGGATTTTTTGGGCCTTTATATTTTTAGAGACTTATATTTTTCCATTTTAGCTGATTTTGTTTAGAAGTTTACGATAATTGGGGCACAGCTTGTTGTAAACCTTTCGAAAATATACAAAATTCGGGTTGTATGTTTTGCATTAATTATCAAGGTTTCAATTTCTTGTTCTATTGACATACTACCAAGAGTGATGATGATCTCATTCACATTGCAACGAAATTGCGCATCATTTGTAAGATTTAATAAATTAATTAAAATTTATGTTTATTTAATATCCAATTGTATGATGGGATGTATTACTTAATAATTGAGTATATATATTATATGCGACCCCCCACTAGATGGAGTGACGACCTGGTAAGACACGCAGGAAGTCGATGGATGCAGGTGGCTCAGGACCGTGCTTTCTGGCATTCCTTGGGGGAGGCCTATGTTCAGCAGTGGACTTATGAAAGGCTGTAATGATGATGATGATGATGTACAATTTTAATATGTCGCAACCATCAGGAGAAAACGAAATAATATTTCAAATTTGAAATAATTTTTATAATAGGCCGGGGAAAAAGTTTCTTCGTATTTTATATACAAATTTTAAATACCTTTTCAAAGTTTAATTACAATTAATAATATATATTATATGTGTCATTTTATTCCATAACTTGTTGACATCTTGTAGGTAGTGACATAATCCCGTTGCTGTAGTAATCTGCTGGATTTTTAACAAAAAAAAATGCGACAAGCAGTTTTGACAGTCCTGACAAGGATTCAGAAGAGTACGTAAGGGCTGCTGTGTCAGTTTTTTGGACAATCATCAAAGGAAGTTCGGCAATGCTCTATAAACTTACCTTGTTTTATTTCGGTGTATAGTTAACATCCACCTTTTTTTTGCTTCATTTTTTTTCACCACTCTTTTATGTGTACATTTAAATAATGGTTATTCATATAAACTAATTAGGTAAATAAATACCGGTAGCTGCAACTGTTTCAACGTCTATCTCGAACAGATGACAATACAAATATGTAGGATACACGATCGTGTGGGCAGCCGCACAATGACCGATGTATAGGCGGGTTATAGAAGTTTGTACCACAATAGGGTTATTAAAAAGAAATGGCGCAAAAGCCGATATTGGGTGCTATAAATGCACCGTTATAGGACAACGTACATAAGAGTTTTTTTTTTGCTATACTTTTATTTTTGAAGCTCTTGTTAATAACTCATAATTAATAAAAAACTAACCAAATAGCGAACTTAAGAGCAATCTAAATCTTACGTTATATTACTACGATCCTAAGTTATTTTTGTTTAATAAGTATAGAATTCTAGCTTCCGCCCGCGACTCAATTATTAAATAATACACACAAATAAGTGCACCACCTCATCAGCAGTCGGTGATGAACTAAACAATAAGCCACTGTGTGAATACCACCGGCCACGCTACGCTTCGATTCCTTTAAAGTGTGTCGAAAAACCGGCAATACCGCCATTGCTCGCCACGATTGCCCATTGTCAATTGTCGGTCATCATACGCGTTGTGCCCTGTACACGATGGCAACAGCCTGCAGTGGACTACCGTGGGCCACTGTGTACAGGAGCCTTAAAAAAAATTGTGGTTGCCAACTCGCTTACCAAGCGTGGCTGCTATGGCAAATATTCTCTATATGAGGCAATCTATGGCAGAGGCCTATACTCAGCAGTGCACTTAATGGTACAGAGTACATTATATATTACAGACACTTAATGGGTTGTAACGGTAACGGTAGGTATCATTCAATGGTGTCCTCTTTTTTATATGATATAACTCCAGAATGTATCAAATTTCTTTATTGGAATCACTCATTTTGACGGACTGAAAAGCAATTGAAAAATGGCGGGAAAGTGTTTTTTAGTTTTTATTTTTCGTTTTCTTAATGTCCTGTATTTATTTATATTAAAACCAGTCAGATACAAATAGTACGACCAAATATATTTTATCTTCAATTTTATACCAACAAAATATGAAGAAACTTTTTCCCCGACCTATTATAAAGAACATTACAAAGCATTTTTCTTATTTTCAGGGGATTTCCAAGGAAGTAAATAAACTGATTTTTGAGGTTTTTGACTTTACTTTTAAGGGGTAAATATTTTTTGGAGTTGTAAACACTTTCAGTCAGTGCAGTCAATATTCAATAATTTGTAGACTTTTGGTCTAGAATTTTATTGTTCGTTTAATTTTACATTTAAACTATGTATATGCAGTGAAAGAGTACAAATGATGAAAATAACTAAAGGTTTCGTTCTTTCTCAAATTAGACCTAGTCAATTGTGGGCAGTCATTAAAATGATTGTTTTTAAAAGTAATTAACGCTGTGATGGTGCTAATATTATGGTTAATGGTTTTAATTACTTCTCAGTTTAATATAGACTTTATCATGATGTTATGTAAACGAAGATCATAAGCATAATATTAAGACTGTTTAACTTGGAGCCGCATACAAGATGCGGTTCCACAGGAGATGCGGTGACAGGGTCACCCTTTTACGAGATAACCTCACAGCAGTGCGAAACTTTGTAGAATTCAACCATGGGTTAATATTGAGTGCAGAACCGCTGAAGGATGATGTAATGTTCGAAGTTTGCATAGATAGGAAGGTAAATAAAATTGGTTATTATTTAAATTGATTTTTTTTTTGTTTTGTACATTTGTCATATTTTATGTATGTTGTATACCATACAAAAACATAAATTGTAGTTTAGATATAAGTATAACTATCCTTTTTTTCCTTTACACTTATTTAATAATTGTATTGTATCTTCACCGTCTGCCTATAGTATTGTGTACTCAACTATAAATAGTTTTCGATTGTACATATAAACTACTATAGTCTTTGCATGGTGCAGGTGACAGCTTACAGTTTATCATGTTTAGAGATGGAACTATGTTAAAATGATTTAAAGGCTTAGCTTTCCATTGACGTCAGTAAAGTTTGGTGTTGATACGTTTTTTTACAGAAAAGTTACACTATTATAAGCACACACACAAAGTTTCAACATGCGGAAACGCATAATTCTTGAGAAAAGAATTATTGAAAATCAATTATTCTTGCAATGTTTATGTCTAATCCTACCATAAAACTGGCGCCATTTTGTAATGTCATTGTCAACGTCAATAGGGATGTCGATTCTTTCCGAAAAAGGTTGATTTTTAAATTGATTCAAATCGTAAGCTGATGTATCGGTTCACAAAAGATTGATTTCTAAAATATCTGTATTTTTTTATGCTTCTATTTATAATGTAAATATAAACCCATTTTATGAAAAACAAGATACCATGATAAATGATCTCTTATTGAAATTTGTTTTATTTAACAGTACCTATTAGGGCAGATAACAAATAAAATAGGTTAGGTTCAACTTATGTCAAAGAACCGAATTGATTGACCCCGACTCCACCTGGTACGAGTCTGTCCTACCCCTAGAGTGGTTTTATAGAGCCGGTTTTATAGGGGGAGCAGCCTCCGGCTCGTCCGATGCCTACGATTTGTTACGCTAAGGCGTAGAGGCTGCTCTTCCCGCAGCGCCGGAGACATAGCAGTCTCAAAATAGATACAGAAATCCTTCTGAATCAGTCCCCTTATTTTTTTATGATGAAGGGGATTTTTTTCTCATAAAAAGGATTTATATTTACATTATAAATGCAAACATGAAAAAAATATTGTTATTTTAGAAATCAATTTTTTGGGAATCGATACATCAGCTTACAATTCAAATTCTATTTAAAAAATCGACCTTTTTCGGAAAGAATCAACATCCCTACTGACAATAATAATAAAAATGGCGTCAGTTTCACGGTAGGAATTCACTAAATATTGCAAAATTATTTGATTTACAATATTTTTTTCTCAATAACTACGTGTTTCAGCATATTGAAACTTTGTGTGTGTGCTTATAAAAATGTAATCTTTCTGTAAAAATACGTATCAACACCAAAATCGACTGACGTCTATGGAAAGTCGTACCGATTTAAAAAAGGCAATGTATTGTTAACACAAAGCACAACAAAAAATATATGTTACAGTCAAAACTCATAACCAGTCAAAACCATTTTTGTCTGCGAAGAATCGTGCAAAAGTAGTTTTGACTAAGGATGTTGGTCAATACCACTTAACTAATTCTTGCAGTCAAAAGTAGTTTTGACTAAGGACGTTGGTCAAAACCATTTTTAACTGCAAATATATTAGGTTATAGTGATTTTGACCAAATTACATCGGTTAAAAGTAGTTTTATAATAAAATAAGAATATTAGTCAAAACTACTTTCGGCTTATACTTTAAAATTTCTGAAATAAAAAAGTTCAATTCTATCAATATTATATTTTATATCGCGGTTTAGGGTGGTTCAAGGGCCACCCTTGCCGCACCTTAACCTACTGTCACTGATACTGCAAGTTTTCACTGATAGTTTGAACTTTAAATGAGGCAAAATTACTTTTGATTAAGAAAGCTTTTGACTACAAAAATCAGTCAAAACTGTTTGGACCAAGGGCATCGGTCAAAACCATTTTTGCCTGATTTTTGCAGTCAAAAGTGGTTTTGACCGGTTATGAGTTTTAATTGCGACATATAAGTAAATTTTTTTATAGATTACAATGCTTGTAAATTTTAGTTACAGTTTAATACAAATTATGACATTACCTATAGTTAAATATTATACTATGTATTAATTTGAAAAAAAAAGTCATCTACTTTATGTTATTTGCAATATTTATCTTGATATTAAAACAAATAAAATGGCTGCCAGTACCTGTGATTTTCATTATGTTGTTGAATACACCTGGAGCTTTTCAAGGTATGATTGCTAATGCTTTTCGCTATATATGTATATTGGGGTAAGTTCACACCACGCTGTGGTGCGCACTTTTTAAGATAGTGGTAAAAAATATAACTTTATTTACTACACAAAAAAATACATATCTTATCGAGATAATTCGAAAATGTCCCGCGCGCGTGCAAGAGCGGTGCGACTTCATGATGCGCCAAGCGACGTCGCGATGCGTATCGCGGCACGTATCGCGTCGCGTCTTGGTGTGGACTGACCCTTAGAGTTGCCAGGTCCAGTGGATCAAACATCGGGACAGAAGTTTAGTAATTTAAAAAAAAAACAGGTTTTTTGTAGTCATTTTGGCCGCCATAAGTTATACTATTGTCTTTTTGACACAATGTGCAATGTTCTTTACAATAATATTTTGGGTTTTTTTATCATCCAAACATCGGAAAATCTGTATCTTCGTCTATGTGTTTTTCTTTATTGGCAAATCAGAACTTGTTGAATGATTAATTAATTTGTTGATTGAGTTTATTGTTGTATTCTTATAAGTTAATTTTTGCTTTTCGTTGAGTTTGTTTATTAAACCCTAGAACCCTACTTATATTTCACATCGACTTTTTTTTGCAACGGGTTTCCCAAGCACCCTGTTATGTAATGAGACATATTTTCAAAAATATAACAATGCTGTGTCTTTATAAATAAATGTATTTATTGGTTCTTTTAGAAATTAAATTAAAAGAAAAACAGTTATAGTAAATGCTTTTAACACATTTAAAACAAACTTTAATCTGATGCTTCCCACAGATAGGCATTTTACACTTGTTTCAAAAGATCTTACTTTTCTGCCTTTTGATTTCCCTCAGCCATATCGGTCCAAAAAAATCTCTGGTGCTAGTCGATTAAAAATAAAGGTCAAAATCAACAACGTCCTTGTTTAATGACACTAGGACAAAGTTCCAACACTTAGAAAGTTACGACAGGGTGATACAGCACCCTGGGTAGGGTTCTATAGCTACGCTTTCGAGATTACTTTAAGCAAGAACAATATAATGGTGAAGTAAATATAAAATTATTTAATTTCTTTTTCTTAATTTTACCACTTTCCCTATATATTTATTTATTTGTTTATTTGTATATGAATCCTAAGCTACTTAAATTTAGTATACATGAATATGATGGTATCGCACGGCACATACTAAAATAGAATTATTAACGTACGTAAAAACTGTCATATTATTATTATGACAGTTTTTAAGTCCAATATTTTCATATAATTATATTTTCTAGTAATTAAACAAAATACCGACGTAATACATACTATGCTTATTACCGGTATTTTTTTTCGCCAGTTAAACTGTACACCCATCATCATCATCATTTTCATCATTACAGCCCTTCACAAGTCCACTGCTGAACATAGGCCTCCCCCAAGGAATGCCACAAAGCACGGTCCTGAGCCACCTGCATCCATCGACTTCCTACATATCTTACCAGGTCGTCACTCCATCTAGTGGGGGGACGCCCAACACTTCGCCTGCCGGTACGAGGCTGCCACTCGAGAACCTTTCTTCCCCATCGGTTGTTGGTTCTTCGAGCTATATCGCCGGCCCATTGCCACTTCAGCTTACTAATCCGTTGGGCTATGTCGGTCACTCTGGTTCTACTGCGGATATCCTCATTTCTGAGTTTATCACGCAGAGAAACTCCGAGCATAGCCCTCTCCATAGCTCGCTGAGCGACCTTGAGCTTCCTCATATGGCCAGCAGTGATGGACCACGTCTCATTTCCATAGGTCATCACTGTCAACTTGTTGTATAGTCTAGTTTTCAAGTTTTGAGGTATACCTGACGAGAAGATGTGCCGTAATTTCCCGAACGCTGCCCAACCGAGTTGAATCCGTCGATTGACCTCTCGGTCGAAGTTGGACTTACCTAGTCGGACTATTTGTCCCAGGTAAACATACTCATCAACAACTTCGAGCTTAGTGCTCCCAACAACTACCGGCATAGGTGTGACATGGACATTAAACATAATCTTTGTTTTGTCCATGTTCATCTTAAGACCTATCCGTTGGGAAACAAACTGTACATCCAAGTGAAATAAATTAATTCTTTATAATTTTATTGGTAAAAAGAAACTACATTAGGTGAGAATTTTAAAGTTAATGCTAATCCTTTTAAGTGTTAGGGCCATGCTGTAGCTATATTATGGTTGTAGCACGAATGGGTCGGCTCGACCCAGGTAGGGCCACGCACTCACAGAATACCAGCGTAAAATAAGAGCTTAATGCTGCTGTGTTTCGTATGATGAGTGTAGAGACCCGGAGAACCTTTTTTACTAGAAAAGAGGCATTCCATCTAAGTCTTCACAGGTGACAACGCATCTGCATTTTGATTCTTAATCGAAGATAGATGTAGATTTCTATGGACCACAGCAACCACTTACCATCAGGTGGACTGGGTGCCTGTTTTTCACCCTTATTCTTTAAAAAATACATATTTTTTGTTATTAAAACAGTTAATAGATTTTTGTGCTTGATAACTATGTAAGTTTAGTATTCATATTATTTGAAGAAATGGGCAAATGTAAACTATATCTCTTATTGTGGACATCACCTGCCAATAAAGAACTACTCATTAACATGATTCTTAACAACTTCCCTGCCCACGAAAAAGACAATAGATAGCAATTGAAATGTTTATAATCATGGGACAGTGAAACAGTTAATGATCACATCAAAAGACTTTCTGACTTCAATCAGCAGGTTGCACCACATATTCCGTCCTCATAAAATGAGGATAATCTTTAAAAAATCATCAAAATCGCTTTAAATGATGAATGTTAATTTTTTTATATAGAATAAAGGTGACAGACAAGCACAGTCCACTTGATGGTAAGTGGTTGCTGTGGTTGTTGACATCTATATCTATCCTTGATGACGAATCAAAATGCAGATGCGTTGTCACCTGTGATGACTAAGATGGAATGACTCGTTTCCAGTAAAAAGGGTCTCCGATTCTCTATACTCACCATACGTGAAACACAGCAGGGTTAAGCTGCTATTTTACACTGGTATTCTGTGAGCGCGTGGTCCTTCCCCGGTTGATCCGACCCATTTGTTCTACAACCATAATATAGCTGCAACATGGCTCTACCACGTATAGATTGCATACTTATATTAGACATTTGATTATAACTTTTACAAATGTTTTTTTTTAAACTAAAGTGATAAACATACAGTCCACCTGATGTTAAGTGGCTACTGCAGTCCATGGACACCAGCATCCAATTATCACCGATGATATATTGTCATTATTTACATCATTGGTACAACCATCCAAAATAGCAAATGTCTTTCATGTCAGGTATTATTTATGGTAGAAAATATTAAGTTGATTTGCTGTAGTTAGCCATAAAATTTTGTCTTAAAAGGGTATAAAGAAATTTAAAGAATAGGTCTTTAATATTTTATCGATGTTTCATTGTACCTGAATGATCAAGCTAGACAATCGAGAGAGACAACTACAACTCACACTAATTATAAATATGAAAAATTGACCTCCAGTGTGGAATCATTATCAATCCGTCATGGGATGATGATTCAACACAACTGGACTCTGCTCTTCCTCTCGGGAAATACAATCATGATGGTTATTTAATAATAGTAATAATGAGTTTTTTATTTCCAAAAGTTAGTACAACCACATATTTGCTTAACACTTAAAGCTAATTTGGTATACATATCTGAAACTTAGCATCTGCATTTAAACTAGGAGATCTGTGCATAAGCTATCAGTGCCATATCCCAATGGTTAATCTAAGTAAATATTAAAATGCAAGCAAAAATTAACTAATTAAATATCATCTAAAGAGTTTGTACTTTATGCTAACATAACATAACCAATTTATGTTTCTGGTTTTAAAACAATTATATTTGGACAAAAACAATACATAAAAACATGGCCGTGGTAGATATAGATTGTATCTTTAAAATTAATTGCTCTCGTGTTATTATCCAGAAAGAAAACAGAAGAACATGTTTGTATACTTAAACTAAACTGACACCCAGATGATCTGTTAATGGACAAACAAAATGAATAACTTACCACTGGTATTAATTTTGTTTTATGAAAATAAATGTTGCTCCGAAGTGAAGCCATTAACGTTTCAAACCATCAAAGTCCACTGCAGATCATGTTCCTCATCCATAGGCTGCCTAATAGGGGGGGATATTTGCCATAGTTGCCATACCTGGCGGGCTGGTTGTGAACTTGTTTTTTATTTTAGTTGTTACTAGTATAACGCTTCTGCCAACCTTAACCTGGTTGGTTTCCCTCTGTCGCCTTTTAAGGCATTCACGAGACGATCTGCGGTAGTGGGTATTCTTACACTTGCCACTACATGGCTGAGGAACTAAGCACTAACCATACATTTTTAGTAAATGAGCAACCCAAGTTTGATTCTAGCTAGCATTAACAAAATTTCTAAATACAAATTGAAGTGCTGATTTATCACATGCTTTGTGGTGAACAAAATTATAAGTAAAATTGTCGACACGAATTGGGGCAATGCGACGGACATTTTCTTACCCGTAAAACCCGCTCAGAAATGTGAGGTGGATTGTGCTCATATGTAGGACATATATAGACTGTAAATTTCCTATTTTTTCCTGTGCCCAACAGTGTGAAAAACAGGCTGTATAATTTTACTTTCCTTTAAGGTAAATGTCTGGAATGGAAGTCTTGAGATTGGTGTCACAACTCTAGATCCAGAATATATGGAGCTGCCCGCTACAGCTACTAAACTGAGAAACACTGCATGGGTAAATGTTTTCTTTATCATTAGCTTACTCTTATATATATTTTTAAAGTGTCAACTGAGAAAATTCTAGAAATTATAAATTTTCATTTTACATCTTTCATTAAATATTATCAAAAGCTCTCTACTGAACATCAGTCATAGTTGATATTTACCATAGCTGCTACCTTCAAGGAAAGTACTTCATCATCATCACGAGATCCCTTCTCTAGGCCGCTGCAGAACATAGCAAGCACAATTCTGAATCTATTCACTCCCTGTAAGCAAATGAATTACTTGAATAAAAATATCGTTTAATTTCTTCAACATCATCTCTTTTTACCAGACTTTCCCCACTAAGAGATTATATTTCTTTTTCATATATATTTTTTTTCATTTATTTCTTTGACACGCTCTCTGGTCTAACGGCTTTAAACGAATTTTAACATATAGATATAAAAAAAAAAATATCTTTTAAATATACCGATTTCTTTAAGTTATTGTTTTCACCATTGGGCTTGTTACAGATCATGTCAGGAAGTTCAGTTGTGAAAGATGGGGTGACATTTGTTAACGCATATGGACCAGAGCTTGATAGTCTTCATGAGGGGGACTGCGTAGGAGTTATGAGGACCAGCAAAGTAAGATCAGTCCTTCAATTATTTTTTTTTCAAAAAGAACTAGTTATGCTATTAACATTACTAAAAGTTTTTTACTTGGTAGAGCCATGCTGCAGCTATATTACTGGTATAGTTGTAGCACGAGTGGGTCAGCTTGACCGGGAAGGACTACGCTCTCACAGAACACCAGCGTAAAATAGCAGCTTCACACTGCTGTGTTTCGTATGGTGTGTGTAGAGAACCGGACACCCTTATTACTAGAAACGAGGCATTCCGTTTTAGTCCTCACGGGTGACAATGCATCTGCATCATCATAGATGTAGATGTCTATGGGCCACAGTAACCACTTACCATCAGGTGGACTGTCTGCTCGTTTGTCACCCTTATCCTATAAAAAATTAACTGCTTCATGACGGTAGTGGTTCCGGGGTGGAGGGAGGGGGGTCTGTTGCTCAAGAGCTAGTCTGCGGAGGGCGGCTAGTAAGCCTTAGGAGATATTTCTTAATATCTCCTTTGTCAGCCGATTCCAAAAAAATTGAGGAATGTTACGCTATATCTTAGTAATAGAAATATAATCTTTTTTTTATAGAATATGGATTATAAATAATAATTATTGAAAATCTCTCTTATATTTAATTTACCGCTGGTTCGGAAAATACTCTGTCCTGGGAAGAATCAGCGAGAAACCCAGAGCGATATTTTTTTTTAACAAAATATCAGTTTACACAATAATTACAAAACAAATTAGAAATAGCTTGGTAGCGATCACCTCATTCCCTAAACTCTAAACAATCTTTGGATAATAAAGTTTTTGAACTTGGCGGAAGTCAGATTTTGTATATTTTCTCGAATTTTGTTGTAAAAGCGTATACTTCGCCCTAATCATTTATTTATCACATAATTATAACATAATTACAGTTCTATAAACCAATGCGATGCTAAAATTATTAATAACTAACCTATATAAAAGAAAACTACTGACTAATAAATCATAATAATATGTAACTATCAACATGAATATAAAATAAAATGCTAATTTAAAAAATTTCCAACTATCAACGCATTTGTATGCTGCGATTATGAATTTCGTATGACTGCAAGTAAATATGTCAATAGCCTGCGAAACTATATTAACATAGTGTATAGCACGTCACAATGATGTGTTCTGAAGCTAGTTCATGCTAGCAGCACGCACGAAGAACAACCAAAAAAATGATCTACTGACTCTGTGGAGCCTTAGTCTATTGTGAACCGATTTTTATGATTACTTTTTATTTATAGTTTATACTTGAAGCAAGTTCTTATTTCCACCTCTACAGTTGGCAAAGTTGGGGAGAAAGTTTAAAGATTTAACTATTTAGAAGTTATTGAGTTTTTGATATGCCTTAGTCCACTCAAAAGAGAAAAAAAAAATTTAAAAAAGTAAAAGTATGGTAAGGAGTATGCTAGAGCTGAATCTAAATGACAGGGTGAGAAATAGTGTGATAAGAGAAAAGTGTGGTTTGCAAGATGACGTTGTGACCAGGATTAAGAAAGGAATGCTTCGGTGGTTTGGTCATGTAGAAAGAATGATCGAGGAGAGAGTGACAAGCAAATTTATGTTGCAGAAGTGAACGGCAGAGTCGGGAAGGGACGCCCTAGACGTAGGTTTATCGACCAAATTGGTGATATATTGAAAATGGGCCAAATTTAGAGTACCTTTAACCGACGAGCGTGTATGCGTAGGTATATGGATGTAAAGGAGGCGAGAGAGGTGTGTCAGGATCGTGCCAAATGGAAGTCCGTAGTCTCTGCCTACCCCTCTGGGTGACGGGCGTGAGTGTTTGTGTGTGTTTTGTGTAAAAACCGTCTTCAACCAACTAAAAAGAATGAAATAATTTCACAAACTGAAACCGGGGTTTTAATTCCATACAAACAATTTTTTAGTACCGACCACAGAATGTGTAATTGTTTTATTATTTTACCGTGTAGTGATAATGTAAGGAAGTCCACTGCCCCATATCATCCCGTGGGTGTCGTAAGAGGCGACAGAGGGAAACAACAGTGGTAGAGTCACGTGGCGGCTTTTGCTGTCGCACGGATGGGCCGACTCGAACCGGGGTGGTACCACGACCTCACAGAATACCAGCGTGAAGTAGAGGTTTACCTCTGCGTTTCGCTTGGTGAGTGCAGGTGGCCGGAGGCCCTTTTTACTGGAAACGAGGCATTCCATCTTAGTCCTCACAGGTGACAACGCATCTGCATTTTGATTTGTAATAGAGGATAGATGTAGATGTCTATGGGCCGCAGCAACCACTTACCATCAGGTGGACTGTGTGCTCGTTTGTCACCCTTATCCTATAAAAAAAAAACAAATCAAGAGATGGGCGGCAGCGTCTTCCTAATAATGACTATAACAAACAACCGGTTGCCAACTCGCTTGCCACCCATGGCAACTATGTCAAATATCCCACCTACGAGATAATCTACCGGGAGGTCTATGTTCAGCAGTGGACTTTAATAGGCTGCAACGGTTTCAGTCCACCTGACTACATCTATCCTCGATTAAGAATCAATCTGCAGATGGGTTGTCACCCCTGAGGAATAAGACGGAATGCCTCGTTTCCAGTAAAAAGGGTCTCCGGTTCTCTACACTTACCGTATGAAATGAGAGCGTGGTCCTTCCTCGATCGAGCCGACCCATTCGTGTTACAACCACAATATAGCCATGATGCAGCTAATAATGGCTCTACCACGTAAATTAATAAGTGAATTATTTTATTATTTTCTGTTCTTTAAAGTCGTCTTTTATTTTTTATTTAAAGTTATTTTTTAATTGCAAAGTTTTATACTCTTGTATTTCCTTGTTGCCAGGCGGAGCTAATGTTCTTTGTTAATGGGCGTTGCCTGGGTGTTGCGGCACGGGATATGCCACCACGATTGTTCGCAGTCGTAGACTTATATGGGCAATGTGTTCAAGTATCCATTATGCACACCAATGGCATGAGACCTATCATGGAGTGCAGCCTGGATCAGGTATGTATCATCATCATCATCATCGATAAAGCTCTTCACAAGTTCACCGCTAAACATAAACCTCCCCCAAGGAACTGAACAACAAGGAAAGCACTGTCCTGAGCCACCTGCATTCATCGGCTTCCTGCATCTTTTACCAGATCGTCACTCCATCAAGTGAAGTGTGTACTAGTGTATATTCTCATCGCCATTCAGTCGATAATCTATGTAAAATAATCCTTTTGATAACTCTGCACCAGCAGAACCTACAAACCATATTTATCGCATTACAATAAAATTTGCTCCACCTCCTCCAAGCTGGAATAATAAATTTTTGCCAACATTACAAAATAAATAGAATGCATTGTCACCAGTAAATATTTTCGTAATCTGTCATAAACATGGTTAGGATGTTTCCAAGTAAGATTATAAGATACCTTATCTTATAATCTTACTTGTACTTGTACTCACTGAAAATTGTTGTGAACCGTGAGAACCTTCTACAGATTGAAGAGGACCCGAACAATGATGACACGTTGACATCGAGCGAGATGGATTGCGCCGCGTTGCCCGAGACCTCGTACCCGAAGGACCATCGAGATGTTTACGTTCCAATGACTTCAGATGGCGCTTGTGCTCTCGGTAAGAATGACCTACTAGCTAGGTGATTGATTATGATGGTGTTTTGGCCAGTACTCCAACAACGAAGTACCGTTACAGCATATTAAAAGTCCTCCGTTAAACATAGGCCTACCTCCATAGATTGCTTGGCTAGCGTGTCGGTAACCACTGTTTTTTTTTTTAATTTGAACTGCTACTGCCCGTCCTCTTTTAGTTTCCTTCTATCGCCTCTTACGACACCCACTGCACAAAAGGTGGATTACACCGCCACTACCTACGTACGTACGTTATGTGTTAAGATAATTAAGTCCGTGTTAGTAAGATTAAGGCAAATTTATGATAAGGAACATGTATTAAAGTTAGAGACTAGAGAATATTTTTTTTATAACTGGCTTTACGGCTCTGGGTTCTAGTCCTTCTGAGCCTGAAGTTACAACGTTTAATTATCCTTCATAGTACACCGCTTCACAATATGTTGGTGCGTCACATTGTGCAACCCATGGGAGATTTTGACGGCAGCTTGAGCCAGCAGACAGCTGACAGTTGGCGATTGTATCTCAAGGCGTCTAAGCAGGCGTCTAAGCAAGTAGTATTCAATAGCAGTAGTTTTGGCTCGCCGCTCACTTAGCGGCCAGCCTCCGCAGAGTCTACTTCACCCGAGGATGCTTCGTGTAGAGGCGAAACACGTGTCGTATTTTCGGGAGTGGTTTGTAGTGCCTAGTGTGGTGGTGCTGGGGGTAGTAGTGCTGGGATTAACGGCGACGGGTATAGTGCGCGCGATTGAGGGAGGGTGGGAGGTCCCCTTAAGACTGGGGAGGGTGGGAGGTCCCCTTAAGACTGGGCAGGACACATCATTTTCTTTCTTTACGCGGAATTAATCAAATTAGTTTATAACAACCCCATGACAAGCACTAAACAAATTAAAGACATTACTACATTACAGGGTAGTTACTTGGCCACAAAACTACTTAATTACTTCCTGCGAACACAAGAATTTACCATTACTAATATTCACAGTCAAGTATGAGACCATCCCCTGAAACGAATGAAAATACCAATAGATATAATCGGAAAAGGCACCCCAGCGATACAACGAATGAGCCTTAATACATTCAACCTAAAAGGACTCCACGCAGCCCAGGACCAACGCATGATGCAACCACCACTTCATCTGAGAGAGATGGATCTCCTAACTTTATATCACACTACTATTCCCTTTACGCCGTGTTATCAAACGTAGTAGAGTTCGCTATCATAATCTTAGTTCGTTACTACTATATAACTAGGAAGCAAGAACAGATCTAGAATAACACCCAACATAGCTACGAAAAGCCCGAAGAATCTAAAGTCGAGAAGGCATTACCAGCAACTTTTTCTCTCAAAGTTCTAAAATAAAAAGAAAAGGAAAGAGTGACAAAGGAAATTTATGTTGCAGAGGTGAACGGCAGAGTCGGGAAGGGACGCCCTAGGCGAAAGTTTATCGACCAAATAGGCGTTATATTGAAAATGGGCCAAAGTAAGAGTACCTTTAACTGACGAGCGTGTATACTTATATATATATGGATTGTAAAGGAGGCGAGAGAGGTGTGTCAGGATCGTCCGTAGAAAAAAAAGAAAAAAAAGTCCGTAGTCTTTGCCTATATCGCCAATTTGGTCGATAAACTTTGGTCTAGGGCGTTCCTTGCCGACTGCCGTTCACTTCTGCAACATAAATTTGCTTTGTCAGTCTTTCCTCGTTCATTCTTTCTACATTAAAACATTTAATTACATGAAATCCAATCGTAATAATTTCGACGCGGAAGGAGTCGCCGGGAACAGCTAGCTAGTTGTATATGAAATTGTAACATGACATTAAAAAAAAGAAGAAACCTAGAGTTTCTTGCCATTACTTTTCTGATAAAGTCTTGTTTCTCCGAACCAGTGCATATTTCGACATTTACAAGAATTTCAAACAAGTCTTAAAAGTTTAGACTTTGCCTTTAGCATACAGTTTAATGAAATAAAGCGTAATCAACTTGTTTTTTGGCTTCACTTAGAAACTGCGTGGCAATGAAGAAACGAAGATTTTTCCTGTATAACAAACTCGAGAAGTTATTGCAAGAATTTGAAACTTCTAACGCAATAGAAACAAGTTTTTTTTTATACTTATAATAAAAGGTCGGGGAAAAAGTTTCTTCGTATTTTATATACAAAATCAAGGCATTTTTTTTCAAAATTTTAATTACATTTAATTTTAATATACTTCTGCCATTTTTTTTCGATAACTTGTTACCATCTTGTAGGTAGTGACATCTTGGGATTTTTGATCTTTGATTTTTGAAAAAAAAATGCGACAAGTAGTTTTGACAGTCCTCTCTTGATGTTAACCTAACACTACCCAAAGAATTCTCAAGAGACCGAAACAGGCGATAATCTGAGGGTGCAAGGTCAGGACTATATGGTGGATGCATTAACACTTCCAACCAAGCTCTCTCAATTTTAGCTGAGTGGTCAAAGATGTATTTGGTCTGGCGTTATCTTGATGAAAGAGCACTCTTTTTCTGTTAATCAATTCGGGTCGTTTTTTCTCAATTTCTTACATGAGTCTCATTAGTTGTTGACAGTAAAGATCCCAATCCATGGTTTTGCGCAGCGGTAAAAGCTCATAGCAAACGATGCCCTACCAATCCCAACACTCACACAGCATCACCTTATTGCGTGTTAATCCTGGTTTCGCTATAGTCTGTGGAACTTGACTACCCTTTGACCCTGATCTTCTTCGCACGTTATTGTCATAGGTGATCCACTTTTCATCACCAGTGATCAATCTTTTCAAAAATGGATCGGTTTCATTACGTTTCAATAGAGAATCACAAATGAGTACACGATTCATTAGGTTTCTTTCAGTGAGCTCGTGTGGTACCCAAATATGGAACTTTTTTGTATAGCCAGACTTATTCAAATGGGTCAAAACTGTTTTGTGGTCAATCCTCAATTCCTTGGCTATGTCGTAACTACCAAAATGCCGATTTTGCTCCACTTTTTCAAAAATGGCATCGACTTTATACATATGAGGGCGACCCGAGCGAGCTGCATCTTTGACATCAAAATTCCCGAATTGAATCAACTTTGTGCTACTCTTACTGACGCTGCATTAGGTCCATAAACGTCACAAATTACGCGTCACGCGGCTTGAATCGCATTGTTCCTTTTTTGTAATAAAACTTCAGGATGTATCAAATTTCTTTGTTAGATTCACTCATTTTGGCATTGAGTTATATACATATACACTACAACAACTACGTACTAGAGAAGCCATTCCGAACATTGACTATGTTGAACTGAACTGTAGTGCAATCCATACAAACTAAATATTGCGTAAATTGAAGATTTGTGAATTCCATAAAATGATTATTATTACATTTTATTTAGAAATATGTTTGTTTAGATTAAATTAAGATATTTTATATTAAATTCTTATATTTATTTTATATTAATATCTTATTTTATATTAAATTACAGTCTTCGCGCATATGCGACTCTATTACCCCCCGCGCATGCGCGAAGACATAGAGTAGCGCACAATTTTTGTTTGGAATGGCTTCCCTAGTACGTAGTACATATAACTCAATGCATTTTGGCGGGCAGAAAAACAATTTAAAAATGGCGGGAAAGTGTATTTACTTTTTTTTTCTTTTTCTTAATGTCTTATATGTATCTATTGATATTAAAACCAGCCAAATACAAAGAGTTCAAACAAAGATATTTTTCTTTAATTTTAACAAAATACAAAGAACCTTTTCCTTGTTCTGCCCTTTCCGACGACCTTTTGTCATATAAGAAAATCCGTAAATTCGCAATATAACTATCGAGGAAAACTTACTGTCCTCTCTTTCTCAAGTTGGACCAAACCATTGTGTGCAACAAGTGCATAATTTCATTGAAATCAGTTCAGTAGTTAAGGAGTTCATTGCGGACAAAGAATGTGACAAGTAATTTTATATATAAAGATGGGTGACAAATGAGCACACGGTCCATTAAATCTATCCTCGATTAAGAATCAAAATTCGGAATTCGTCGTCACCCCTGAGGACTAAGATAGAATGCTTCCGTTCCAGTAAAAAGGGTCTCCGTTTCTCTACACTCACCACACAGCAGCGTTAAGCTGCTATTTCACGCTAGTCTTCTGTGAGAGCGTAGTCCTTCTTCGGTCGATTCGACCCATTCGTGCTGCAACCTAAATATAGCTGTAGCGTGGCTCTACTACTTATAAAAAAACCGGCCAACTGCGAGTCGGACTCGCGTACCGAGGGTTCCGAACAAATCCGTAGGTATATAAGTTTAAAATTATTAAAAATATTTTTATTATATGATGTAACTAAAAATTTATGCTTTTTGTAATTTTTACTTTATCTGTGCTATAATACGCTGCTTCATACCAAATTTTAAGATTCTGAGTTCATGGGAAGTACCCTGTAGGTTTTGATTCCCTTGCGAATGTCGAAAATTTGCGGCATAAACGGCTGTATCTTTTGATTGCGTTGGCTTAGAGGTTTGATTTTTTCACAGCTCTAAGGGACAGTAGACTTGAGTATTTGATATGAATTTCAGCTTGATACCTCCACGCGTTCCTGAGAAAAAGGGTCTTGACAGACAGACAGACAGATGGACAACAAAGTGATCCGATAAGGGTTCCGTTTCCTTTTGAGGTACGGAACCCTAAAAATGTAAAAGTATATAATAACTCGTTTAACTTTAACATTGTAATAATACACGGTGTCTACATCAACAAATTATGGTGAAGTAGTTTCTGTGTTCGATCCTGGTTACTCACGAAGTTAACGCTGTTGTTTCCAGTGGCTCAAGACCGACTGAGGTTTCACCCGAGATGTGGCATATTAGTCAAGCTGTCTAACAACAATAAGTAAGTATTTTTGTACATTGTATTTGTAAAGTAAAAAGTTACACCCTATATGCGTACGTCCCACTGCTGGATTCAGGTTTTCTCTCAATCAGAGAGGGTTTGGAGATGTGGTTTTAGAGTGTTTACAATCATAAATCTGTGTTCTTGCAAAACTTTAATAACTCTCCGTAGGACATTAAGAGGACATCGGACGTCAAGGCATTTCCAACAGATTTGCGAGTATTACTGTTGTATCATCATCATTAGAGCCCTTCACAAGTCCACTGCTGAACATAGGTCTCCCCCAAGGAATGCCACAAAGCAAGGTCCTGAGCCACCTGCATCCATCAACTTCCTGCATGTCTTACCAAGTCGTCACTCCATCTAGTGTTATATACTTGTGAATAATTGAAGAAATTAGTCATCATCCCCGTTTCCTCCTCCAATAATGAAACAATTAATTTTTTTTCCAACAACAACATAAGAAAGTTGTTGACTTTGTTTGTATGTTGTTGTTTGTTAAACATTAGGTTTCTAGTTCTTAAAATATTTAGTTTATGGAAAAAATAATGTGAACATGGTAGTGGTACATCTTAGACAATTTAGTCTTAATACGAGCCTATTAGTTTAAACCCAGATGCGTAAAAAAAAAGTGATTGAAAAGAGTAAAATTTTATAGTGTATGTAATTTCCACAACTACTAAGACGAATGCAAGGACACCCTATTACGTTAAAATATATTAAGACGTTCAGGTTACAGAGCGTGCCAAAGAAATACTCATACTTACATACACACGAACAACATTACTTCTGGGGCAGTCGTTTGAAAAATATTTTTCTACAGTCATATTACCCAAAAACAAAACAGAGTTACGTTTGTATGTACAAAACGCTACCCGGATGTCTTTTTATTTTTTGTCGCGTGACAGTCAGTCTTGGTGACACGAATGACGGCAAGTTGATCACTACAGGTCAGCAGAACGCGCGCGTCCGTTGGATGATTACAACAACGGCGTGGTCATGACCCATCGTCCGCTATACGATGATGAACTCTTTGAGATACGAATCGATCGGCTCGTCGACAAATGGAGTGGCAGCATCGAGGTGAGATATTCACATGTAAACGTTACCGTATTTTAAAACTACAAAATCTAAAACAAAAAGCGGTTTTATAACATTTTGTTATGTTAAATGAAACTTAATTTTTACGGATTTTATAGCGTTTAATTTAACTTTTTAATTCCTGACGTTTCAGGTGCTTTACAGCACCCATGGAATTTGAATTCAAAAACTGAAGGTAGTCGGGCTAACTATGACATCGGGACTTTCTCTCCTCCTCCTCCTCCCCCCCCACGTGACCATGGGTACTGTAGAGCACCCGAAACGTCAGGAATTAAAAAGTAAATCATTTAATGTGTAGTCTTCGCGTAAATATAAGAACGAAATCATTAATTTGTTGTGTGCTGAAATTTACTTAAACATTCTTAAATTGATACCGAAATATTTATAGAATTTTTGAGATGATTTCAGTCATTTTACATATTATGTATTTTCTTGCGGCATTATTATATTCTGTCATTCCATCTAGTGGGGGTCGACAAATTACGCATCTCACAAAATAGCGTCCTGAGCCACCTGCATCCAACGACTTCCTGGATCTCTTACCTAGTTGGGGCCTCACTAACTTTGCTTTTCAGTTTGAGGCTGCCTCTTTTTCCCCTTCGGTTGTCGGTTCTTTGAGCTATATGGCCTTCCAATTCTACCACAGGTTGCTGATCCGTTGGACTATGTCCGTTAGTCTTAAGGTGTAGACGAGTATGTTTACCTGGGACAAATAGCCCGACTAGGTAAGTCTAACCTCGACCGAGAGGTTAATCAACGTTCGGGAAATTACGAAACATCTCGTCAGTTATAGGTTGAAGTGTCTGTTTGTAATGTTAAAATAACAAATTATTACTAAATGGATATGAAAGTATATATGGTACTAATAACAAAAAATTTTTGTTGAATTCACAGTAAATGGTAATAATAGTAATTGTGTTTTTAATAATTGTGCTTTAAAAAATACAGTTCAAGCTAAAAATTTTTAAATCTTAAAAAAAATTATAAAATGTTATATAACACATAAAAATGTGTGTTTTAAGTAAAACATATACGAGGGGTGATCCAAAAGTAATAATAATCGGTTACTTCAGGTTCGCATAAAAATCCAAAAAAAAAAATTTTTTTTCTTGCTTATATACTCACTACGTCAGCCTAAAAAATCATATAAATAGATCACGATTTCCGGGAGATACATTCATTTGAATACGAACTGTCAAAGAGATAACATCAACATGGAGAAAAACGAAATTAGAGCTGTCATCAAGTATCTCTGTTTGAAAAAAATATCTTCAAAAGACATACACAGTGACTTAGTGGAAACATTGGGGGACTCTGCCTCTCCATATTCTACAGTTGCACGCTGGGCCAAGGAGTTTAAACTGGGCAGAACATCCACTAAAGATGAACATCGCGAAGGACGCCCATCCACGTCCCCACTGAATACAACGTGAAAAAAGTCGAAGATGTTGTGTTGGCAGATCGAAGAGTGGCCATCAGGCATGTAGCTGAGGTCACAGGGATCTCATATGGCAGCGTTCAAAGAATCCTTGTGAACGAGTTGCATATGAAAAAGGTCTCTGCGCGTTGGGTACCCAGAATGTTAACCGACGAGCAAAAGAAAAATCGAGTTGACATTTCGAGGGTCAATCTCGAAAAGTTCCAAGCAGATCAAGAAAATTTTTTGTTCCGTTTTGTGACTATGGACGAGACCTGGATCCACCATTTTGATCCTGAAACGAAACAACAATCGATGACTTGGAAGCGAGCCTCCTCACCGACGCCAAAGAAACTCAAAGTTTCAAGTTCGGCGGGAAAGATTATGGCATCTGTTTTTTGGAACGCTCAAGGCATAATTATGGTGGAATATTTGGAAAAGGGAGCCACTATTACGGGCTCTTACTACGCAGACCAAATAAGAAGATTACGGGAGGCCATTAAGGAAAAAAGACGCGGCAAACTGCGAGCTGGAGTGCTGTTTCACCAAGACAACGCACCGGCTCACAAAGCCGCAGTTGCGATGGCTGCCATTCAAGAAACGGGATTCGAACTGCTCGAACACCCTCCCTATTCGCCAGATCTAGCTCCTAGTGTTTTCTACCTCTTTCCTCGGCTCAAGGAACGCCTCCGAGGCAAGAAATTCGAAGACGATAACGAAGTAATGGCCGCTGTTGAAGCGTTTTGGGAGGGTCAAGACAAAGAATTTTTTTTAAAGGGAATCCTGGGTTTAGAAAAAAGATGGAATAAATGTATTGATTTGTTAGGAGACTATGTAGAAAAATAAATTATTATTTTAACTTTAATTACCGTGTTTTATTTTCATTATCATTACTTTTGGATCACCCCTCGTAGTACAATAATCGGCTATTTAAGTCCCGCATTAGCGTGACTTAAACGTGGTTTTAAGTCACCGAGTACTATAAAATATTTAGAAAAACAGCATGGTAGCGGTCACCTCATTTCCAGGGGTTATTATCAATTAAAATTGGGGTGATAAGATCATATACTACAGAAATACTACTATTTTACGACTATTTATTAGTAAAAGCTAAGGGTGGTACATGTACCACCTTTAGCTGTAAAAATAAACATTTTTAAAAACACTTCCCCTTTTCAGGTGGGGGTAACTAGTCACAACCCGGCCGCGATCCGGTTCCCCTCGACGATGACCAACATGGAGTCGGGCACGGTCATGATGTCCGGTTGCAAAGTGCTCCTCAACGGGCACGGCACGTGTATGGAGTATGGGAACTTTAATCTCGACGAGCTGAGGGTGCGTAGATGATTTGTTGTTTAGTAAAAATCTGAAAACACGTTTCCAGCTTCATAATGAGATAGTGTATCATACCGCGGGCGCAGTTAGTGGCGAGACAGGAAAACTGAAACATGTAATCGGCAGCAGCATGTTCCTTAAAGGTCTCAAAAAAATGAAAAATCTGAAGCAAATACGGAAAATGTCCCTCCCTCCTATGAGACAATTTATGGGGAGGCCTATGCTCAGTAGTGAACTTTTGATATGCTGTAATAATATTTATTATATTTATGTATTTACGGAACATGAATTTATCAGAGACAGTTCGAAATCGACCCCAGTTTAGACGTTCGGTAACATGCACACGATTTCTTTTTTAGTAAGCAGCGTTGTCACAGTGCTAAATCCACGTTCACACAAACATGACGATGGGAATGCTATCAAAAACCGTTGAACGATCGACCAAAATTAAAAACAAAAAGAAATCTTGGTAGCCATTTTTGAATTTGATTTTTATTTCCTCGTTCGTTGTCAGTTCTATAAGTTCTTCTTCCTGTTGGGGGTGATACTGCTATATTGACCTTTGAAAAAGGATCTAGCACCTAGTCTGGTATTTCCAATTTCTAAATATCCTGGAATCTTTCAATGAAATCACTGTGGAGATTTTTTGTTCACATGTTGACAGTAGACAAGCAAGTCGTCATTGTCAAGTGAGAAACTCTGCTTTATGTTAATACATACATACATATAATCACGCCTCTTTCCCGTAGGGGTAGGCAGAGACCAGTTCTTTCCACTTGCTACGATCCTTACATACTTGTTTTGCTTCGTCCACTTTCGTCCATGTGTTAATCGAGATAATTAAAATTTAATCGCCGGGGAAAAGACTGACGTTTTGAGTTGTTGTTTCTTTAAGCGATAACCATATATTCGATAATATCAAAGGCATGTTATTTAATTAGATTCTTCATCGGCTACATTTCTATTTAGATTTTTTATTTTCCGATAATAAGCAAGTACGTCTCAAATAAAGTATCTTTTTGTCCACCAAATGTGGCACACTTACTTCGTGCTGGACAATATGTATATATAATATGCATGCAGGGAAGAAGGCAGGAATTCCTTTACTAAAACTTATTCTATCAATAATTCTGACATGATCTATATGTACCTCACGTCCAGGGGTGGACATTTGGCAACCATACTTACGTGGTATATATACGTGGTGTATATGCGCGGTACAGCCAGTTCAGCTTCAGTTTTTACTATGGTTGTAGCACGATTGGTTCGGATCGACCGGGGGAGGACCACGCTCTTACAGAATACCAGCGTAAAATAACAGCTTAACACTGCTGTGTTTCGTATGGTGAGTGTAGAGAACCGGAGACCCTTTTAATGGAAATTGAGCATTCCATCTTAGTCCTCAGGGGTGACATGGTATCAGCATTTTGATTCTTAACTGAGGATAGATGTGGATATCTATGGGTCACATAAACCACTTACCATCAGGTGGACTGTGTGCTTGTTTGTCATCCTTATTCTATTTAAAAAAAAACAATACTTTGTCTGTTACAGGAGGGCGACACCGTGGGCATGATGAGAAAAAGCAACGGCACACTCCACTATTTCATTAACGGAATAGACCAGGGCGTCGCCACCGACAAGGTGGACCAGCAGGTCTGGGGGGTAGTCGATCTCTACGGGATGACTGTCAAAGTACGTACAACTAATTGGTTAATAGAACGAACGGTAGTGACCATAAAATAATAGACTGTTAGTAATTATATTAAATAAAAAAAATATTATCCATACGATAATGACGGCTCCGTGCCGCAGTGCCTTAGTAATGAGTTGTTGCGCTGGGGGCCGCGGGTTCGAATCCCGCACGGGACAAGTATTTTTATGGCCTACAAATAATTGTTACTGGTCTTGTGAAATTTATGTTTATAAACTGCCTCCACGACACAGGAGAAAGTCCTAGTGTTGGGGTAACGTTTTTTTTTTTAAGTATAAGTATAGTCGTATAAATAAAAATACTTATTCGTCCGATAATTATTAAAATTAAAATGTTCAATTCTTTCAATATTATATTTTATGTCATTACAATGTATATTTTTTATTAATTATATTTACAATGCCATGCGGCTTTAAGATGGATCACCTCCCAAAGTCAATGCTAGCCGCATCTTAACCTATTGTCACTGATATTGTAAGATTGGTGTTATGTTTTATTAAACGCAAATAGCCTAATCAAACGAGTAAGTATCAATATATAAGGATATTTTTTAATAAAAGTATTAAATATTGGTAAAGTTATTTGTATACGTTTGAATACTGATTTGGTTAAATAAAAAAAAAAAAGATAACGAACTTAATGGAAATTCGTATCTCTCCTACCCGGGGTACAAATTGGAGCACTCCTTTTTGCCTCGGGCTGGAGTTTGCGTGTATGTCAGAGAGGACATCTGTTCTCGACGCCTCGGCAGTCTTGAAGGTTCGGACCTGTCCATCCTTTGGCTACGCGGAGATAGCGACGACCATCCGCGCGTCTACGGGTGCCTCTATAGGTCCCATAGCGGTAATGCCGAAACAGACCGACTCATCGACCACGTCCAAATGGCTACAGATTCCTTGCTATAACTGGTCCCATCCGCAGAGATCGTGATCCTTGGCGATTTTAACGCCCACCATGCTGAATGGCTCGGTTCACGTTTAACCGGTCATGCGGGGAGATCTGTTTATGACTTTGCCTTGGCATATGGTCTGACACAACTGGTTACTTCGCCTACGCGGATTCCAGATGTGGAGGATCATACACCTTCCCTGTTGGACCTTCTGCTGACCTCTCATCCGGATGGATATCAGGTTTCCGTCGATGCCCCTCTCGGCTCTTCGGACCATTGTCTGTTCCGGAGTATGGTGCCACTCACGCTCCCTTCGCGGTTGCGTTCTGCAGGTTGCCGCCGTGTTTGGCATTACAGGTCGGCGGATTGGGACGAAATGCGGTCTTTCTTTGCATCCTACCCATGGGGGCGGGTTTGCTTCTCGCCGGATGATCCCAGCGCTGTTGCTGACTCTGTCACTGATGTGGTGCTACAGGGAATGGAACTATTTATTCCATCATCTGTGGTACCCATCGGAGGCAGATCTCTGCCTTGGTCTGGTCGCTCCTGTAAGACTGCATTGCGCAGTAAGCAGGAGTGTTATCAAGCCTGGACTGCGGCTTCGGTGACTCGGGATGTAAACACCAGCACATTAAAAATAAGTATAACTTCGCCTCCAGGTCCTTCAAAAGAGTCATTGCCAAGGCAAAGTCAGAGCACATAGGCAGAATTGGCGAGAAACTAGTTCGCCTTCCTTCGGGAACCCGTGCATTCTGGTCTCTCGCCAAGGCAGTCCAAGGGAATTTCTGTAAGCCATCACTACCATCTCTGCACAGGGAGGACGACTCACTGGCCCAAGACGCAAAAGACAAAGCCGACCTTTTAGGCTCCCTTTTTGCGTCCAACTCGACTCTTGATGACGGGGGGAAAATACCGCCGACCATCCCGCGGTGTGAGTGCTCCATGCCGGACGTGCTATTCTCACAGCGCTCAGTTCGCAACGCACTTCTCTCCCTGGACATCTAGAAGTCGAGTGGGCCTGACGGAATCCCCCCCAATTGTGCTGAGGACGTGTGCTCCGGAGTTGGCACCGGTCCTAACGCGTCTTTTCCGGTACTCCTACTCCCAAGGCGTAGTCCCGAATTCATGGAAGACAGCTTTTGTCCACCCGATCCCTAAAAAAGGCGACTGCTCAGACCCGTCCAACTATAGGCCTATCGCGATCACCTCCTTGTTCTCCAAAATAATGGAATCCATTATTAACTGCCAGCTCATCCGGTACCTTGAGGATCACCAGCTGATTAGTGACCGCCAATACGGTTTTCGTCAGGGTCGATCAGCTGGTGATCTTCTGGTCTACCTGACCCATAGATGGACGGAGGCGGTCGAGTCCAAGGGGGAGGCGTTGGCTGTTAGTCTGGACATTGCGAAGGCCTTCTATCGGGTTTGGCACAAAGCGCTTCTTTCGAAGCTCCCTTCCTATGGGCTTCCCGAGAAATTGTGCAATTGGATCACCAGCTTCCTTGCAGATCGGAGCATCAAGGTCGTTGTAGACGGTGCATGTTCTGACTACAAGCCTATTAACGCTGGTGTTCCACAAGGCTGTGTGCTATCACCAACGCTGTTTCTTCTGCATATCAATGATATGTTGCTAACTGGTAACATTCATTGCTATGCGGATGACAGCACTGGTGATGCTCTATAAACCGGCCGGGCCAATATTTCTCGGGAAAACGTCGCCGAGTACCGGAACAAACTTGTGTCTGAAGTCGAGTCTTTGCTGAACAAAGTCTCGGATTGGGGGCGACTAAATCTAGTCCAGTTTAATCCTCAGAAGACACAAGTTTGCGCGTTTACCGCTAAAAAGAACCCCTTTGTCGTATCTCCTCAGTTTCAAGGCACTCCCCTTCTTGCCTCAGCCAGTATCGGTATCCTCGGAGTCGACATATCGAGTGAAGTGCAGTTTCGTGGTCACTTGGAAGAGAAGGCCAAACTGGCCTCTAAAAAGCTTGGCGTGCTCAGCAGAGCGGGACAGTATTTCATGCCGGCACACCGCCTGCAACTTTACAAGGCGCAGGTTCGGCCTCACATGGAATACTGTTCCCATCTCTGGGCAGGGGCTCCCCAGTGCCAGCTCCTTCCACTTGATCGCATCCAGCACAGAGCGGCTCGAATCGTCGACGACCGAGCCCTTTCCGATCGGCTCGATTCATTGGCACTGCGAAGAGATGTTGCATCTCTTTGCATTTTCTTTCGCATCTACCATGGGGAGTGCTCTGAGGAATTGTTCGGATTAATCCCAGCCGCCAAATTTCATGAACGCACATCGCGGCAGAACTCCCGATACCATCCACACCATCTGGATGATTGGCGGTCCACCACTGTGCGATTTAGAAGATGTTTTCTTCCTCGCACGACTTCCTTGTGGAATCGATTACCATCAGCGATTTTTCCGGACCGATACGACTTAGGGACCTTCAAGAAAAGAGCCTACTCCTTTTTAAAAGGCCGGCAACGCATCTGCAATTCCCCTGGTGTTGCGGTTGTTCATGGGCGGCGGTAGTCACTTACCATCAGGTGAGCCGCATGCTCGTTTGCCCCCTCTCCTATAAAAAAAAAAACTACGGGCTTTGGTCACATTGTATATATAATACATAATAAAACATCAATCTTAACATAATTTACATTATGCCCAAAATTGGTGGTCTATAGCAAGCCAAAAATTTGTCAAATAGCCTCTTATCACTAAAAGCTTAAGAACCACACGTCAAGAAGACGACACCGTCTTATATTCGAGTGATGTGGACAATAACTGCACCAGTTTCCTATTTCAGGTGTCGATAGTGGATCCGTACGAGGACATCGACAGCAACATCAATGACTTCACCCCTCTGCCCAGCGTCTCGGTGCTGGCTGGCCTATGTACGTAACCAATACGATAATTTATTACTTTCATTGGAAAACGAATCACGGTGTACAATCACTACGGTTTACTTATATTAAATGAGATAGGTTTACCAAGTTTTTGTAATTAAAATATAGCATTTTTGGAGTTATGTGGAGTGTATATTAAGGCAAAAATGCATTTATTTTATATATTACATTAGTTGGTACCGGAGTTGGTTCTCGAGTGTCAGCCTCGTACCGGTATGCGTGGTGGTTCTTCTCCTTGTGGAGGTTTTCATGTATCTAGGAGACCCTATTTACATGGGCGGCATCTCAGGGAGACACGACCCCCCGGTCCTGGGTGCTGCGTTGGCAGCTTCTAGGTTGGTGTGTAGCGCACTTCACGCCATCCAATAAGGTGGCGGGACGTTCACTCGTCCTCGGCGTCCCCTGTGCCGGATGGTGGGCGTAGAAGTTCACGTGGGAGTGGTCGCCCGTCAGGTGGGCGGGCATGGAGCGGTGCTAGGTTTTGAAGATCTAGATGTGGCCCGTTATCTGCGCGGTCGAATAACCGTCTCGCAGTACGGGCCACGAATTCCTGGATGGATTCGACCTTGAGGTCGCGTGCGATGACATCATTCCTGACGTAGCGACCGGCTCCCACGGTCACCAGAAGCGCAAGATTTTGCTGGGTCTGCAACCTCTTGCGCTGAGTGGCCGAGATCAACGCGTACCAGGTTTATGCTGCGTAGGTCAGCCGCGAGCGGACGTAGGTCTTGTAGATACCGATTTTGGTTTTAGTTGGAAGTTTGGATGCCAGTACAGGATAAAGTTTCGCTTGCGCAGCTCTGGCCTGTCTCACAACGTGGTTGACCATTGGGGTCATGCGCAGCGAGCGATCTATCTGGCATCCTAGGTAACTGGTAGGCGAAGTGTAGGGCGTTCTCCCACTAGATGGAGTGACTACCTGGTTAGCCATGCAGGAAGTCGATGGATACAGGTGGCTCAGGACCGTGCTTTGTGGCATTGCTTGGATTTGTGAAGGGCTGTAATGATGATGATGATGATGATGATGGTACCGGAGAACCGAAGAAATAATTGTGGAAATATAGTTTTAAATTTGCAAGAGTTATATTATTTAATTAGGAATGATAATACATTAACTGTGGTTGAATTATATAATATAACTTTCAAATAAATTTGTCGGTACGATACACGCGCCACCTACTGTAAGTTAATTGTAGTATGCGGCTAAAACCTTCTCACAAATGCAAGCAATAATTTGACAAAATTTTATCGTAATCTGATGAACAGTATAGCAGCGCATAAAATACGAACAATCAAATATTAACTTTTATATATTATATTAAATATCTGTTTTATATATTAATGTGCAGTTGAAAGTGAAATACAGCTAGCTTAATACAACTTTGATAAAAATTTAATGGTCGAATTTCGACCACTGGATGACCATTGGTTATGAAAGTACACGCGAATACAGGCTCGTTCGAACCTACCCGTTTGAAGTAATGCTTATAAATATAGATCGCAATGTCATTGTGTTAAAAGTGATATTCGCTTGCAGGCCAGCTGGCGCCAACCATAGACGAAGATAGCCTTTTATTTCATACGCTGCGTGCTTCGAATGTTATTATTATTAACGATGGTAAGACTGCTCATAGGCCTAAGTGAGTATTACCTTTTTATAATTTATATATTAGTGTAGAATTTTTGAAGTGACACTTGTTTATCAACGTAGTGGAGAAATTTAGTACGGTATTAAAATTAAAATAAAAAGTCACGTATTCTTGTAACTTTTCTCCGACGGGACTGCATGAGTATACTATTATTTTACCTACTTATGTATTATATAAAATAAAAGAAGAACGATATGACGTAAAGAAGTTTTACTTCGTACGTGTGTACACAATTACATGCACAGTTTTTTAGATGAGAGCGGTCTAACGGTCATGCGGCTCACCTGATGGTAAGTGAGTACCGTCGCCATGAACAGCTGCAACACCAGAGGAATTGCAGGCGCGTTGCCGGCCTTTTAAGCCCAGGGCACCATGTTGTTTTTTTTTAAATAAACCTAGCATATTGCACTCATATTAACATTAAAAGAAAGACGAAATGCTGTGTACATATCAAGTGATGCAAAACCGTGCCCAACTTATTATTTAAGATACATAATATATGTATGTGTGCGTGTTTTATAATAAGTTAGGCACGGTTTTTGCATCCTTTAAATGTACAAAGCATTTCGTCTTTCTTTTATTGTTAATATGAGTGCAATATACTATATTTATTTCAAAATAGACTCTATCCGCTCGTCTGTCCAAACGCCATGTTCTGGCGTGTCAAATAATATGCGCATCTGTCAAACTCCATAATCTGGCATCGTTTTACCGCGAAGCTTTAGAGATCAATGTATATCGGTTCTACTAATTCTATCTCTCTCTAACTTTACTGTTATCAAGAGAATAGAACAAGGGTGTAATAAAAGTCCAGTCTAAAGGTCACAATACGGGATTGAATTGTAAACATCCCAATTTTTGTCCCGATTTCGAGTAGAGTTAAATGAGGCAAATTGTTCTCGACCTTGTCGTTAATAAATGTATGAAGAAGTCTCTTTGTTTTAATTATTTATTGTTAAATATGCTTTTGACGTACAAGTAAAACAAATAGTACTTGGAATAAAGGCTTTTAGTTATAATTATTACACCTTTAATGCAGAAAATTGGGGGAAAACACTTCTTATTTTCACTTTCGCATTAGTATCACTTTCCAAGTAAACCTATATTCAAGTTATACATCATCTGATAGCTTATTTAATAAAGTTTCCAATGATATATGACTTTCATACAAAATGTCTTGGAAATAGTCATTTTAATGAACAGCAGGAAGTAGTCCGGAAGTACTTCAGGAAGTGCTCGACAGAGGCGCCATATTGGCCAAAATGGCTGCGACAGACGAGTGGTTATGTTTTATTTATAAGAAAGAATATCGATCATTCTCCAGTTCTTTATGCTTTAGTGTATTACATACTGTCCGTCCAATTGCAGCGCTTTTGAATACTTCAATAACGGGATAGTGATGACTAACCGAACGTTGAGGACCAACGAACTGTTCCAAGTTAGGCTCGATCTAGTCATACCAAAGTGGGCCGGGAGTATCGAGATCGGAGTCACGCATCATACATCCAACGAGATACAATTCCCATTCAAGATGAGCAATGCCAAGTAAGTCTGAATCCAAACTCAAAGTTGTTTTATTCTGTTTCACATCTGTGACGTCTAGAAAACTTTGTGAACGCACCAGTAGGTGACGTCATGAGTGGTTTGACTTTGTAAGCTGACATTTGTCACTGCACGGCACGGCATGGTAATAATTTGTATTGTTTCTTTTCTCCAATCGTTTATTAAAATAATTGAGTTACTAGTCTCCCGAGTTTTATTCAAACGTCAAAACATCACATCGCTACAGCACATCTCAAGTCCTCTGCTACATACAGGCCTCCCCATAGGTTGCCACGAAGTACGGTCCTCAGTCATCTTTATACATCGACGATCGAGTTCTCAAATTATGAAATATGACAGTTACGCCATCTAGTGGGTGCGGGGGGGGGGTGTGGACCCGACACTTCGCTTACAGGTGCGAGGCTGCGGTTGTCGGTTCTTCGAGCTAAATGACCGACACATTTCCACATCAGCTTACTGGTCCGCTGGGATATGCAATTAATCTTGTTCTACTACGGATATCTTACCAGTGCGTGTTGCCATTAATGATTTTAAGAACAGAAACTTTGTTCTTCACTGATGGCCGTATGAAAAAGCTCGAAGTCATTCAGGGTGCCATGGAAACGGCTATGCTCGTAACTTATCTGCACAATAAAGTCCGTAACTAGGATGATTCCGTCTAGGTTTATTAAAATATTTACTACGTATATGATGTATTTGCAAAATTACTTCCCGCCAGAAAGGGGCTACTGAATTAAAGTACGAATCGCAGCACGTAAGTCTAGCGCTGAACGAAACGTGGAAGGGATATCTGCGCAAGGGTACTGTATACACGTATCACGTATCAGTACGGGGGACGGAATGCGACTGAAGAGCCAATCAGCGCGTGCGAACGATACGCACGCCCGCCCCGCGACCCGCTTACTACCACATGAAACCTTATTTTCGACTTATGCGCAATAACGGTCACCCCTAGACTTACGTGCCACTACTTATATGTATGCTACTGCAGTCTCCGGACACTCAAACGCAGCTCAATTTTAAGATGCATTTAAGGCTCGTGCTGTCGCTATCACTTCAAGTCAAAGTGTCTGTGACACCACGGGACTTAACGACATCTTAAAACTGACCAGCATTTGAGTATTTGGTCATAATATATTTACTTACAGCGCCATCTATTAGTGACTGTTTTGAATTAGCGTCTCGGATATTGCGGACATAAATGATCAAATTAATCTATAGGTACCAATCGTTAATTAACTCGTGTTTAATTATTATTTGCACTTTGTCGTTGCAATTGTAGATCGGGCACTTGGGCCATGACCGGCGAGGATGTAATACGGGATGGCACCATTATTATCCCGCAGTACGTGAGGAACCTAAACCGGCTAGTGGTAAGAGACCTTTACGCTATAACAAATCATTATATCAGGGATAATAATTTTCAACACTTAGGGCCGTGGTCTATAGATACATAAAAAATATTAAATACTCCGCTCTATATAGAAAATAAAATTGTCGTTCTCTCTCACCCCTTTTTTCTATATGTCTCTCTTTCTCTCCCTCTTTCTCCTTCTCTCTCCCACATATATCCTTTTCCGCAGGATTATCTTATTTATAAATATTTAATTAGAAATTTGACCAAGGTTTAAGACCACTAAATGTAGCAAATACTAATTATATAATGTAGTAATTTATTAATGCTGCTGTCAAGTACCTGATAGTATTTTAACCGACTTCAAAAATGAGGAGGTACTCAATTCGACTCTTCGTATATTTCTGTCTTTTTTAATTGAAAGGTGGTGCTTCTGATGTAGTCCCATATAATTTCGATCAAGATCTGACCAGTAGTATTTGAGTTATTCTTAATGCGTATTAAATAATTTAATAAAACTACATTGATGATGTTCTCATTTTATATATATTGAAGTCGGTTGTACAATTTTTTTTTAATTTTATCACTTGTTTAAAGACAGAATTGACAACTAATAATATGTTAGGTTGGCAGGTATCATAGTTTATAATGAGTAAGATTGTATATTGTTAGAAACTATTCCACTTCTGATGTTAGAAATTATTCTCAAAATTATTTAAATAAAAGAACACTACTCGGTAACAAACCCTGCTTACTATCAGGACCCAATTAAATGATAACACCAAAGTATGCAAACCAACAGCAACACTACCCATCTCAATGTAACACAGGGCAGCCTCTCAGCAACACGATCTTCCTTGCTTACACTAGAAGAATACCCCAACGGGCATAGTAACGACAGTGAGACTCGTAGAATTACCAAATGATATCTCTTAGTCGCCTGTGCGATACTTTATAGCTTTATACTGCTAAAACAAGTGGGACCACCTTCATTTGTTTGAATTTTCTTTGCTTTTTTTGCCTTCATTCCTTACAATATTTTTATATATAAAAATTACGTGTCACGTTGTTTGTCCGTTATAAACTCCTAAACTACAGAACTGATTTCAAACAAATTTGCACACTGCGTGCAGTTTGGTCCAACTTGAGTGATAGGATACTTTTTATCCTCATAAGTGACCTTCAATATGTTTTATTGCGAATTTAAGGATTTTTTATAGGAAGGGTCGTTGTAAAGGGCAGAACAACGTCTGCCTGGCCAGCTAGTATTATAATAAAAAGGTTAAGTATACTACAGCCCGTAAGTGCGACAGAGAGCGCAACAGGCGTTGTCCTGTTTCCACATTTTACTCAATTTCACTTCTAATACTAGTAGTGTACAGCTTATCAAAAGTTCTCTGTTGATCTCTTCCATAGATTGTCTCTTATTTTGCCATGGTTTGCTTAGGTAGGCGAGTCGGTAACCGCAGTTTTTTTATATTAGAAAGCTGCTGCCCAACTCCTGGTTTGTTTCCTTCTTTCACAACACCTACGGGGGGTAGTCGGTATTCTTACACCGCCACTACACGCTCAAACTCTCGTAGTGACCAACACATTTTCATTTGACACGTAAATCAAATGTTTGAACTTCGAAGTTCTAGTTTCTAACCAAACATTTGCTAAAAGCATGTTTGAATTGTGACAGGAGGGCGACACGGTCGGCGTTATGCGGAAGGACATGGGCATCTTGCACTTCTTTGTGAATGGTGTGGATCAAGGGCCCGCAGCTTTCAATATACCCGAACAGGTGTTCGGCATAATTGGTGAGTGATCCGATAAGATTAACTTTTATTTTTGTTAAAGTCGTCGCTTTCTATGGATAGTTCCATATGCAAATGTTTATTTCGCCACTTAATGATAACGTCGTATTTAATATTTAACTATCGCTATCTATACTCACACAAGCCGGTAAAGATTGCAAAAAAAATACGTCGGGATATGCGTTTTTCGTTCGTTCTATAACTTCAATCCAATTTATCGTTGGAATCAACGATAATAAAATGCTATAAACTACAAAAAAATTAAGCCGATTTTTGAGAGTTTTCTTTACAATTATTGTTGATTTTGTTGAAGACATGAGCAACCAGTTTTAAAATTTACGTTGTTCTGTCTGCCCGAGCCAATCATCGGAATGGCTGAACCGATTTTAATAACACTTCACGAACAAGAGAATAATACCTGCAGTGATTTAGACTAATCTTATTCGAAAATTTAGAGATTTTTTATAATATAAATATTGATAAGATAAAATAAATGTCTGTAATTATTATCTTAAGTCTAAATAACGTCCCTTTAATAGATCCAACCCAGGCGAAGCCAGAGCGCGTCGCTAGGTATAAATGTTATTTTAAAATTATTTTACTTACTTGCGTTTACAATTCTTTTAAAATATTTTCTCATAAAGCGAATAATATAACGTTATAACGATATACCGTTAACCGTTATTAGCGTGTCTTATTGGTACTGTGCATTTTGACGGTACAGGCTCGATGAGCCGCCACTTCTAATCCCATTCTTTATCGTTACGGACTGTATAAATAAAATTGAAGTATCTACATATCAATAATAACGAAATAAGTGGCTTCTATTAAGCGCAGGGCGTTATTTGTAATCTATGCTCCGATGCCTGTATTTAATAGAACGTTTCGTTTTCCGTAACGGTCCGTTATATTGCATAATTCGTGCAAGTAAAAACAGTTTAGAGCCGTTTTTATAGTAGTGAATTTCAATTTTGACAATGGTAAAGCTACGCGGCAGCTTCTGCTAAGCCTTTTGTCCTGCGCCAGATCTCTCTCCGGTGGTGTCGGGTTACCTTCCCATCGGACGAGAGTGAGGGAATAGAGAGTGCTGTGTTTGCGCATACACTTGGGCACTATAATCCTGACCTGCGCCAATGGGTAGTCTCCGTTGAGACTGGCCGCCGTGACCGACATTTGGTTTAGTCATTATTACTTATTGTAGTACAAAGTGACTATAGTATAGTAATAGTATGCTAAATACTGGGTTAGCGTTTTTTTTTAACTATATGAAGTGACAATGGTGCTTAAATTATAACTTCGCAACGTCTTTATGTAACTTAGTATAAACAGTGGTAGAGCCACGCGGCAGCTTTTGCTGTGGCACGAATGGGCCGGCTCGAACCAGGGTAGTACCACGACCTCACAGAAAACCAGCGTGAAGTAGAGGTTTACCTCTGCGTTGCGCTTGGTGAGTGCAGGTGGCCGGAGGCCCTTTTTACTGGAAATGAGGCATTCCATCTTAGTCCTCACGGGTGACAACGCATCTACATTTTGATTTGTAATAGAGGATAGATGTAGATGGCTATGGGCCGCAGCAACCACTTACCATCAGGTGGACTGTGTGCTCGTTTGTCACCCTTATCCTATAAAAAAAAATAGTATAGAATCTGTGCCTTTTAGATTTATATGGGCGAGTGGCCCAAGCGACCATAGTGGACACATACGCCCCACCGCCAGTCTACTCACCAGAGTCGCCGCTCTCAACCGAGTCCATCGCCACTTCGTTCCCGTAAGTTTACTTTTTACTTTAAATTTTCTACCGACTTCAAACAGGAGGAGGTACTCAGTTCGGTGTGTGTTACTTCATAACCTTTTTCTGGGTGGACCGATTTCGATCATTCTTTTTTATTGGAAAGCTGGTGCTTCTCATGTGTCCAATAGTTTTTGAGGTATTCTTAATAATTTATATTGAAGTTGGTCATACATAATTTTTAATTTTAAATTATGATAGTTCAGATGTCTTCTTTATCTACACTAATATTATAAAGAGGAAAGATTTGTTTGTTTGAATTGAATAGGCTCCGAAACTACTGGACCGATTTGAAAAATTCTTTCACCATTAGAATCCTACATTATCCCTGGTGAACATAGGCTATATAACATTTTCAAAAAGTTAGGGATCCACATGACAACTTCGTTAATGTAATCCAAGATGTGAAAAAATACCAAAAAGAAGCCTTATATCGCGTACGCTGCGGAAACTATTGATAATAGAGCAAAGTAATGTACTTCACTTTTATAGAGGATATCAATATCTACAAAAAAGGCTGCGATACCATATGTTTAACTATTACAGTTGTGTCACAATAACTACTTTTTCATGTTAAAATATGAAATAGTAACGCCGGTACAAACTAGTTATTTTCGTATTATTCGTATTATGTGCATTAACGGCACATTATTCGTATCAGTACCATGCATAACCACCAATTACGTTAACCATGTAATTTTAGTAACATATCACTTTTTAAATCTGTTAATTCAGTAACCGTCCGTCGTGATGTCTCTCTCGAAGTTCGCATGTCGCAAGGCATAGACGCGTGATATACGCGGGTGAAACCACAGGGCACAGCTAGTCTAGATATATTTTTGTACTATTAATATTGACTATTTGTATTATCTATTCTATACAAATAAATAAAATTGAAGTGTCTGTTTGTAATGTCAAAATGACAGCTTTATACTAAATACATATGAAAGTACAATACGGTACTAATAAGAAAAATACAATTTTTAAAGTTTTTGTCTGTCTGTTTGTTTGTTCCGGCTAATCTCCGAAACGGCTGGACCGATTTTGACGGGATTTTCACTGACAGATAGCTGATATCACAAGGAGTAACTTAGTACTTTTATTTTAGAAAAAGAATTAGGGTTCGATTAGGGAAGCGATTTTGAAAAAAATTATCCCATGGTATATGATTACAATAAGACGTAAATTACCCAGATTGCAGAAGCAGAATGGACTTTGTATGTTAGAACATAAGAAACTAAATAAAAATGGTTAAGCTAGTTAAACTAGCACATATACGTCCCACTGCTGGGCACGGGTCTCTTCTCACTTCTGAGAGGGTTTTTAGGGCTAGGAAATGGCGCTGCTCCAATGCGTGTTGGCGGACTTCACTTTCATGGTTTATCTGAACAGTTCTTGGTTCAAACAGTAGGTCGTATCGCGGATTCATAGCCATGGTTTTTTTTTTAGTTTCATTTTGTATCCCCAACCATTAAGCTACTGTCGCTTAATTGAAATAAAAGAGTATTACTGACTTCATATAATATTTAGTGTAGTGTGTTCGTTTAGGCCTCTCCATATCAACCCGTGGGAGTAGTTAGAGACCACAGAGGGAAATGAAATAGGAGATAGGCATCAGCCACGGAGCAAATACAAAGGCGAGGTGTTTTAATTAGATTTCAAATAACAATGCGTGACAATTTGCGGGGTGAGGGGGCGTTAAGCTCCGCCTACTTTACTTTTTTCCATGTACCGATAAATAGTAAAATTACTCGCATTGTTCCGTTTGTTATTTTTATAATTGTTCTTTTAATTGACGATAGATGGCGGCCTGTTCATAATGATTATAAAAACTATAAAAATAATATTTTGGCGATTAAAAATTCTTTAGGACTGAATGCAAAACAAATTTCTGCACCCTCGTGTGATTATTTTACCAACACTGAGCTGTTTATTTTTAGTTCACATGACACAAAGTGTCGCCATCTGGTGTAGAAAATATTTAATTATATTGGAAAACCGACGCAGAGATTTTTCTAGAACTATTTTAATAGATAAGGTATAAGTTATACCTTTAATTACTTACAAATGAAATGTGACGCCATCCATAGCATCAGTGCGTCTATCTGAGTAGTTTTTACACGATAAAACACAACACTATCTTTTCTTCTTAATACTACGAAAATACACTGATTTGTGATTTTTGACACACAAGTGCACAGGACGAACGCTGACAGAATACTAACGTTAAGGCCACGCTCACTGTGAATACGTCAGGACCTAGTTAGTATCACAGTGCACAGTTGCTTAGACCGTCTCCTCTTTGTATTTGCTCTGTGGTATCAGCATTTTCCCTATAACAACATAAAATAATCAAAATCATAGAAAACTTCGGGTGCAACCCCCCTTTTAAGTGTGGCAACCATTTCCATATGGGCTAATGTATGTATATGGGAGGCCTAAGTTTAGAAAAAGATTTTTGTCCTTGTACAATTTATGTATGTAAACTGCCTGCAAGATACAGGATAAAATCCTCCTGTACCCGACTACGTAAAAAAAACTGCCCCTCCCTTTTTTGTATTTGCAGATGCAAGATATAAATATTATAATTAGTCCCACAATTAAGGCGAAACTAACAACAGCCTATATGTTAAGATCCAGCTAGCCGTTTAAGCTACAGACTAACAGACGAACAGATGTAGCATCGGTTTATAACGCCACCGTGGAGCAGCGCGTTACGGCGCTGAAGGCCGAGAGTTCAAATCCCGCATGGAACAAGTATTTGTGAGGCTCACAAATAATTGTATCGGGTCTGAATGTTTGTCCTTGTGAAATTTATGTATGTAAACTGCCTCCATAATACAGGAGAAAATCCTATGTAGTGTCTTTAAATTTTTTTTACATACAGGGAGATGTGCTTCCATCGGGTCCACGGACATAACGCACGTCTATCCCGGTCCCGTCTCACTGCATCCCGGGCTACCGTCTACTCGGAGTTTAACGACGCGGTGCTGTTCAGTTCGCGACCGCTGCGGGAGTGCGATATGTTCGAGTTGCGTATTGACAGGATGGTTGACTGCTGGATCGGAAGCTTGGAGATGGGTATGTATGGGGAGGGGAGTTGGGGGGGAGGAACATCGAAAATTCACAAAACAGCTTTAAAAAGAGACTATCGGACACTTGTAGAGATTTTCTTCCTGATGTGTCAGTCGTTATACAAGTTATTTAAAATCAATTTCCCCACGAACATACACAAAATAAACTAGTTATAAAATGCAGTTAGTAGCTGTTTATTTGATTAATGTTAGATTTTGGGTGATAAAAACCTGCTTCGTGCCTCAGATTTATTTTGTGACGCCTAGAGATACTATCGTCATCGACTATCTATTTAGTAAAGCTGTTGCAAATATCTCTTAAAAATTTGTTTGTGTAACACATTGATATATTGTTAAAACCTGGGCGAACAAGTTTTGCTCGGTGTTAGAAACAAATTTTTATCGTAATTATAATTATTTTCATTAAAACTTAAGTCTATTATAAGTGGGATATTATTTCTAAATTTACTCGACACTGGCAAAATTACTAAACGTTTGAGCCCATAACGAACGAAGAAACAAAATAATTATAGTCGGTTTCTGTCAACATTTTAACATGGTAGAGCCATGCTGCAGCTATATTGTGGTTGTAGCACGTATATGTCGGCTCAACCGGGGGAGGACCACGCTCTTACAGAATACCAGCGTAAAATAGCAGCTCAATGCTGCTATGTTTCGTATAATGATTGTATAGAACTGGAGAGCCTTTTTACTGGAAACAAGGCATTCCATCATAGTCCTCAGGGGTGACAACGCATCTGCATTTTGATTCTTAATCGACGATAAATGTATTGATATATACGACATGGGCGACAGCATCCACTTACCATCAGGTGAACTGTGTACTCATTTTGTTACTCAATCTCAGGTGTGACAGCTATTCGACCTGAGGATTTGGAAGCCAGCGGAGGCGTTGGTGCTCTAGCTGGTACAGCGACAGACCTCAACTGGGACACCTACATACTGAGCGGAGCGGCAGTTATGAAGGACGGCGAGTGTGTACGTAGCGGATATCCGCTTGATCTTGACACCCTCACTGTGGGAAGCCGCGTTGGTACGTAACATTGACTAACACACCCAGTTCTTGGTTATATTGAGCTATATAAGAAAGTACTGTGTATTTCTTTAAATCATTAAAGCTAGGTACGCACAAAGTTTAAAATCAGTCACAACTTACCATCAGGTCGAACTTCAGTTTTATAAAAAAAAAAAGAATTAGTCAAGGTTAATTATAACTAACAAAACTTTACGTAAAAATATAACATCTATGTAAAAGACCCTGATTTTCTTCTAGTATTTATAAAAAAATAAGGGAATAAATTTACGCAAAAAGAATATCTTAGGAACTAAAGGCCCGTCACCTTGAGTGTTAAGGCACAGGCTAAGAAGAACATACAGTCAGTCATCGAGTTTGATCTTGTCGGATAAGCTGTCAAGGAATATAATATATAATAATAAATAAGCTGAAAAGCAAGTCTGATAAGCAGATATAAACAATAAATTGCTAGGGTTGTCAGATCGAGAAGTAATAAAAAAAAAATGAAAAACTGTATTTACTTTATTTCATGTTTAAACGATTTCCTGTTTATGTGGAAACTGATGAAACTTTAATTCCTTGTCTTTTAATAAGGACAACCCACAGTTTTTTACCGCACATGTAGTGTGAACCATTTTAATTTATTTGCGTGACAGGTCAACCCCAGCGGACAATGCTCAGCCCGCGTCTCGCCCTCACGGTTGCCCCGTCTAGACGCCTTCGATGACCGACTATTAGTAGCAGTTAGACTGTGGTCAAGGCGTGCAATTAAAAACGCGTATATGATAGCGGCATCATCGAATTTACTAAACTTTTCTATAATAAAACTATACTATAATATACTATACTATAGTAGATAGTTATAATATTTAAATCTGGTCGTGGGTTGTTTGATAATGATACGTGGAGGGCCGTGTTTTTAATACGACTGTATTAAAGTTTGCCCACATTATATCGTGTGGTGTAGAGGTATAGACGAATCTGAATCTAGCTCAGCGCTCCTTATGTGAAATTATTTGATGTATGGATAGATATATATTTATATTCCATATTCTACTCCAGGTATGATGTGGCACGCGGACCGCAGCTTACATTACTATCTGGATGGCATGGACATGGGGAAGGCGTGGTATGTTCCTCACCTGAACATATACGCCGTCGTAGACCTCTACGGACAATGCACTCAGGTTAATCCTTAGCATGATTGTAATAAGAAAATCCACTACAACATATCATCCGTGGGTGATAAGAGGCGGCAGAAGGAAACCGAACCAACAGAGGGGTAGCAGCAAACATAAAAAAAAACTGCGATTGGCCATCTATGGGTAAGGCCCATGTTCAACAGTGGGCATTTTATAAGCATTAATTGTAACGGTAAAGTTTATTACTTTACCCATTACTTAGGCTGCCAAAAAGTGGGTCAAATCCAAATAATCATCATCACAAGTCCTCACAGCTGATCATATGCCTCTACACTAGATGGAGTGACGACCTGGTAAGACATACAGGAAGTTGATGGATGCAGGTGGCTCAGGACCGTATTATTTGTGGCATTCCTTGGGGGAGGCCTATGATCAATTCAAATTATACGATGTAAATTATTAAAAAAAATCTTTATTTAAAGAGAACGTACAGCTATAATAATAATAAATGTTTATTATTATTATAGCTGTACATGCTGTAAATTAAATAGTTACAAAAGCCAGCTATGTTTTTACTAACTAATGATAACATTTAAATGAAACTAATTTTAAGGATTTTATCGCATATAATATAGGAGTTTAATTTTAACTTTTTAATTCCTGACGTTTCGAGTACTTTACTGCACGCATGGTCACGGGGGGACTGAGGTGTTCGGCGTCTTAATGTCATAGTTAACCACGGATATTTTCAGTTTAAAATTATTTTAAACCGAAAACTAAAAAAATAATAATTATATTAATCATCTTTATTAGAACTTATAAAAGTTACAAACGAATTGTTATACTGATCCCTAAACTCGGGTTAATCCTGTATCGTAGGATATCTCTTAGTTCCCATAACGTTGACAGTATACAATTTTAACGCAGATTTTTTATAATAATATTTTTTAATATGTGTGTGTGTGTACGTGTGCGTCCGCGCGTGGGTTTTTGCGCGTGCGTGTTTTTATGTGTATTTGTGTGTCTGTCTGTCACAAGCAAAACAATTCCATTCTTCAGCCAATCAAATAAAACGAACAAAAAATTATAACCGGTACTATGTTGACTCACAGGTGACAATACTGCAAAACGAGGAGCGAGCGTTCAACTACAACGGCTGCACCAACTCAGATAATTCGTTATTGAGTAACTCTCGTGCGTTGTCTTCTACACCGCCGCCATATTGGTAACGTCTTCTTAACTTGACGCGTATGATGCAACTAATAACTGTTTACTAATGTGTTTGATATAATAATGGATCTTTGTTGTTACCTAACAATAAATGAATTATTATTATTATTTTGACCTATTTTAGTCGACTTAAAAAAAGAGGTACTTAACTCAATTGTATGTTCATTTTTGTGTATGTATATTTTTCGATGTCTTCGCCAATTGTGAACCGATTTTATTAATTCTCTTTTCTACCGACTTCAAAAAGGAGCCGGTTCTCAATTCGACTGTATGTTTTTTTTATGTTTGTTACGTCATAGCTTTTTACTGGGTGAACCGATGTCGACGATTCTTTTTTTATTTGAAAGCTGGTGCTTCACATGAGGTCCCATATAAATTTGATCAAGGTCTGACCAATAGTTTTTGAGTTATTCTTAATAATTTATATTGAAGTCGGTTGTACGAAACTTTTAATTATTATTAAATAATTTAAACAAAATATTCCACCCCAAAAAGTGAAAAAATAGATGAAGTTCTTAAACGTGGTAGAGCCATGCCGCAACGATATTATACTTATAGCACGAATGGTTCGGCTCGACCGGGGAGCGCTCTTACAAAATAACAGAGCGAAATAGAAGTTTATTGTTGCTGTTTCGTATGGTGAGTGAAGAGAACCGGAAACCCATTTTACTGGCTAGAACCATTCCATCTTAATCCTCTGGGATAACAACGCATCTTCATTTTGACTCGTATGCTATGCGCCACAGCATCCACTTACCATCGGGTGGGATTGTAGTTAGGCGCTGGCTTGGAATAATATAAAAAAAAAATGTTTACAGGAGTTTCTCTGAGTACTGCGGAGAAAACATCAGTCTGTTGCATGACTACTCTATCGCGCGTCGCCTTACACCGGACCCCATGGCGGCTCTCGTCTTCAGCTCTGCTCACCTCGCTATTAACGAGATGTTTGAGGTGAGTCGACATTTTGTACTCCTTCTGTTTAAAATTTACACTAAGTGGTTTCTAGTACAGCAAGTCTGGTAAGACTTCCAGAAATAGAATAGATTTTTTTAATTTATTTACAATTGGTTCGGAAAATACCACTGTCCTGGGATGAACTCTGGTTGGTCGGTTTTTTTAAACATATAATTTTACACATTTTTATATGAATTTTAATGGAGTCAGCATGGTAGCGATCACCTTATTCCCAGGGTTTATTTTCGGTCATGTATTCCTTGATATTACATTTTTGAATTGACCTTTTTTGTACATTTTTTTGTAATACTTTAGATGCTTGATGAATAACTCTAATTACACCCATAGTTGCAATTGTATATTATTTGTTCATATTGAGTTCTAGATACTCTGTTGTAGTAGAGCCACACTGCAGCACTAAAGGATCTGCTCGACCGAGGTAGGACCACGCTCTGACAGCACAGTATAATAAACATATATTAGGACGACGCTTTTGATCTCGTGGTAAATGCCGACAACGTCTAGACAGGTTAGGGTTGTCACAAATTAACAACTTTTACTAATTTAATAATTTATTTTAGATCTACATCGTCATCAACAGTATGATTACTAATATAAAAAATAAGTAACAATTTGTTCTTAGATTTTTCCTAAAAGTTCTCAAAATGTTAATTGCACGCCTCACAACGTGAGGGAGTGCTCTACTCTCGAATTGTGGCCATACCTCAACTTCGCTACATAAAATCGTTCTTATACTCTTAGCTAGACATCAAATCCATATTATTATTAACGTTACAATGACTACAGACATTGAATTATTAGTTTATTTTATAATTGATTATTTAGGCTTTCGAAAGTTCTTCCTACTAAATCAGGTCTTCCAATAACTTCCATCTATAATTTGCATCTGAAATTTTTAAATACAATACTTATTAATAATTTTTCATAATTATCACCCCCAGAAACCTTAAAATTGACATACATATTGTATTATTAAAAAAAATCCACCATCTTGGATATGAAAATTAATGCCGTTTTCGTAATTGGCACCCCAAGAAAACTCGAAATTGACATCCATAACATTAAAAATAATTATTTCCATCATCTTAGATTTAAAAATGAATTCCAATTTCGTAATCAGCACCACAAGAAACCTCGAAATTGATACCCATATCATATTATTAAAAAAATGTCCGCCATCTTGGATATGAAAATGGATGCCGTTTTCGTAATCATCACTCCAATAAACCTTGAAATTGAAATCCATATCATACATATATTGAAAAATGACCGCCATCTTGGATTTAAAAATAAATGCTATTTTCGTAATTAGCATCCCGACAAATCTAAAAATTGACCCCTAAATCTTAATATTTTATAAAAAACTTCGAAAGACCGAAGACGAGGCACTACAGTATGGTCTAAAACCTTAGCCTGTCCAACCACACGATTTAAATGAAGAAAAAAATCAAACTTCGAAACAGTAATGCCCAGCGACTAGTACCTATTTTTTACGTCCGCCATTTTTTTTACGTTGGCAATTTGGCATGACATAACAAAATATACATAATGTAAAAAATAATAACAATATTTATTTACCTTTCTTCCGTGTGCGCGATTTGGTGAAACCACAGATCTTTATTTATGCGAGATGACGACTTGCAATCTCTCACAGCAGACGTCGTATGAACCATTGTAATTATAAGTATCAACATAAATTTAAAAATTATAAAAGCAAACGCGCGTTAACCCTGGAAGTCATGTCCCGAGCTTCTAATACGATTGGCATAAGCAGCTCGGGCTCGTCCTTCCCGCGTCTCACCCCTCAGACCCCGCACGATTGCCCTGTCTGTCTTCGTCGGACGACTGTATGGATTTATAGGCTGTGCTGACAGTATACTTGAGTGAAATAGCAGCTTAACGCTGCTGTGTGGTGAGTGTAGAGAACCGGAGTACCTTTTTGCTGAAAACGAGGCATTCCATCTTAGTCCTTAATGGTGACGACGCATCTGCATTTCGATTCTTAATTGAAGATAGATGTAAATGTACATATATGTCTATGGGCCTGTGTGCTCGTTTGTCACCTATATTCTATAAAAAAAGCTTTTCTGGAAAATCGTCAAGGTCAAGGTGCAAAACGTCTGATATTGACACCGTCATTCCTCTTTACAAGAAAGATTTAAATCTAACCTACAATGGAAGTTGACTATTACAGATAGTAAGACAAACCACTACCCTGTATCATCCTGTGAGTAGTAAGAGGCGACCAAGAAAATTATACAGGATATGGGCAACAGCATGTTTCTAATAACAGCTCAAAATAATGAAAACTGTGGTTGCCTACCATAGATTACCCCCTAATAGATTCCGCATACAGGGCCACAAACGCGCGCAACACATACTTGCTGTAGCTAGCATACGAAGTGAAGCTAAGAATCACGACATCAATATCGACCAAGTTTGTGATCCGTAGGCACGTCCGAGTTCTTGACAATTTAAAAATAGTTTTGTATCCAAAATACATTACAAATGGCTTCCTGTTCAGTAAAATGGTGTGACAAATTAGCTAAGACATCCAGTTATCAAAAAGATGGCATAAATTTTAATTGATAAGTAAATTCTATTCTTATCACGTTAACCTATTTCAAATGCACCGGAGATCAACTTATACTGGTATATTAATGCTGCAAAGTGATAACAATTAAGCACCCGTTGATGTCTTTTTGAAATGTCCCTTTCACTCGTTACGTAAATTACAATAGTTGTCTTTGTCTAACAACAGCACGTGTATTGATAGTGTTGTGATTTTTAAGTCGATATTTGTTTGGTCATCGTTTAATTATTTTTTTCGAAGTCATATTATTTTATAAAAATAGTGACGTATCATTGTGGTACCTATATGATATAGGTTTCCTAAATGCCCCGAAAGGAAAAAAGGTGTGGATCGACGCAAATTGTCGAGGGGACGAATGGTTTCCCACCCAAAATAGTGTACTATGCTCAAAACACTTCACAGAAGACAATCTTCATAATATTATGAAAAACCGTATAAAGCTGTTGGATTCTTGCCAGTTTTGGTATGGACTTTAGAGTTTTTTTTTAAAGATTAGTACTAACGTAGATTACACAATAATATCATTAAGTGGTTGAGTGAAACATGATATTCTTATATTTAGGTAAATGTTACACGTCGAAATCAAGCTATTTTTAACGGATTTATAAATCATAAAACTTGTAAAAGTTATAATGTGATTATTGTTTTGACTTGGTATTTAGTGTTACATGAACTTCAGTATTATCTTATTATAATTATTAAGTACATCTAAATTTGGAAGACGTGCCGTATGGTGTATTAATTAATAATACTATATCGGTAATGTTTTAAAAGAAACGAATATGTATTTCTGATTTAGATTACTGGTTCGCCGCTGAAAGACGCGAAAAACCCGCCAACACCTAAAAATCAGAGTCATTGCTTAGAAACGCCTACAAAACAAAAAAGAAAATGTTCTCCTATATCTGATACGCCATCTGCATTTGATACTCCAGTTAAAAACGTCTTTGTAGAAGAATCATCGAATTAACCAACGTAATGAACAAAAAAGATAAAAAAGTTAAAAAGTTAAGTGATTCCAACAGAAGACTAAAAACACAAATAGTTTCTTTGTAGTCATTATTGGTAGAATTAGAAAACAAAAATTCATTAGCAGCGGAAAACAATGAAGCATTAAGTTCCTTAGATAAATCAAAATCTAGAAAATCAGGCAAAATTGTTAGAAAAAAATATTCACCACAATTGAGAGCTTTTGCACTCACCATAAATTACTCAGCTAGGCTTATAATTATGTACGCAAAACATTTAATACTTATTTACCTTCTGTAAAAACACTAGGAAAGTTTGTAGTTTTAACACAATCAATTAAGCTTAATTATAAATAATAATAATAATAAAATAATATATATAAATAAATAAGCATAATTAAACAAATAAATAAGCAGTTTTGTTAATGAGGATATTTTTCATGAAATAAAAAAATCACCAATTCGATCACGAAAGTTGTAATCATGTCATTGATTTAGCTAAGAGTGTTATGGAAAAATACATAGACATACTCGTAAGATTACTCTACTCATCCAGGAAGACAGATCCTAAGAATTCCGTGAGACAATTTTATACTAAGATTATCCATTTTAAAAATCAGTCAAATATATATTTATAAATGAAATGTACAAATATATTATGTATACAATGCTTAATTTTTTAATAAACATCAAATAAAAATTGATCAATATATTTATTTATCATTATCAATAATCAATAAATCCCAAATTTATCGATCAACGTCCCAACCCTGTTCCATCACTATGGTTTGGTACATTCTAAGTTTGACCTTTAAATATCCAATCACAGCGCATTTGCCTTGCAACCGCAACCCTTGCATAGGGCCAAATTTGGTGAACTCGAAACAGAACAAATATTCAATGATGCGGTATCTATTAGGGGGTAATCTGTGTTGCCTACCCTTCCGCCAAGCGTGATAACTGTGGCAAAATGAGGCAATCTATGGGGGAGGCCTATGTATGATAGATATTCTGTTATGATCTATAACGTTGAATTATTATGTAATTTGAATCTTATCCCCTTATTTATACAGATCAAGATCGTGGAGCGCAAGTACGGTTACGCGGGCAGCTTCCGAATGGGGGTGACGGATATCAACATACTGAATGCGCACGTGAATCGGAGCCTCCCACCTTCCGTCGCGTTCCTGCCTCACTACACCGCCTATATAGACGGTAACCTGATTAATATTCGCACACTACTAAGGTAGAATATGTAGTTTAATATGTACGGTATGGACAGTGAAATTTACGGTCAGTGTTCACCCCCTGAGTTGCCTGGGCTCCCACATAAAAACTCATCATATAATTTTTAATTTCTAAAATAATTATAACTTAACTCAGATCTTTGTTATTTAAAATTTAAACGTAAAATAAATGCGAAACTGACTTCAAAAAACTCAAAAGAATAAAATAGTGTCTACTTAATATAATAGCTTCCGGAAATCAGGGCTAATGGCCCCTCTACACTACTCGCGAAGTTGATAGAAGTTGGACGAGGAGAATAGTGTAGAGAGGTTCTTCGATTCGCTTCGTACAACCTCGCTTTGCCTCTGACGACTTCCGATCGCTGTCAGTTTCTTGCGCCTGAGTCAAAGGACTTCGCGACCCGAAATGTCCCGAAGTTACACGAAGCGTCTCACTACAGTATTCGGCGTACGACAGTTACCTATATAATATTAAATTTTTTATATATAAATATTAAATATGTAACTTCCTACATAATTATTTATCTAAGGTTAACGCATTGACGTCGTACACAATTAGGTACCTATAAGCAGCTGCCTCTTGAACGTCATTCATGTTAAGGGTGCGGGAGACTCGGCACGACTGAGCTTTTCGCGAAGTAGCACGAGTTCACGATCTTCGGACTACGATCGACTTCGACGAGCTCTTTGTCAGTAGGCATAAGACATTGTGTATCTCATGATTAAAGAAGCTATAATAATAAAATAATTTTACTCTCTTTAGTTGTTTGAAGTCGGTTTGTTGTCTTTTTTTTTTCACCATTAACTCAAGTTTAATCAGTAGAAGTGCCATGCCAAGAAATAAATTTAAGCTCCATCTGCCTCTATGCAAGCTTGACATATATAAAAGAAATGTATTTATAAATGCTATTAGAGTTTACAATAAATTGCCAAACACTTTTAAAGACCTCCCATTCGTAATTTTTAAAAGGAAACTCACAGAATGGCTGGCAACAAAATGTTTTTATATGTTAGACGAATATATGAATTATAAAGAAATGTAAAATAATGGTGAAATATAGAAAAACTTATTAATTCTTTTAATATTTATTTTATTTTATTTATTTTGACATTTTTTATTTTTTTAGATACTATCCATTTATATATAATCAATTACCTGATTAATTCAATTTTTGACATATATTTATTGTAACTTAAAAACTTGACGCTAAAATATTTTTAAACAACTACATAATTATTTTTCCTAAATATTTTACCTCGTTAAAATGTAATAATATTTTTTTGTATATTGTAGATATTGCATACCATTATCATGGTAGAATGTAAGGTCTCATTAATAAATAACAACATCATAATATTATGTACTACATTCTGGCAATAAATGAATTTGAATTAGAATTGAATTTTGAGAAACTTCATTTTTTTAAACTTTTAGTGTGAACTAATAAATATCACAACCTCAAAACAACAACTAGGAAGTAAGGATAGTTTCATGAAAAATTTTGCCTTTTAATTGTAGAAAAAATTCAACTCTTACGGGTAATTAATCTTCAAATTTAAATGACGGTCCCATTGATCTAGACCACAGCACTACCTCTCGGGTCAAGATTTTATGTTTCCCTTTTTTGGCACTTACCAAACTTAATATTACAACGTCACCCTACGCAGCATAGCTATGAACCTTCGTCTAGATAAAACTAATATATCGTGTGAATATAATCTTAAAAGTCTTCCGCTAGTTACACGATCACTAACAGATGCACCAACGATTATATAATTATTATTAATTAATAGACGTAAGTGGTATTTCACCCCCGTGCCTCGAAAGCACGTAAAACCGTTGGTCCTGTACCTGGTCTTTTCGGTGGTGTCGGATTACCGTCCCATCGGACTATGAGAGTGAGGGAATAGAGAGTGCACCTGTGCTTGCGCATACACTTAGACACTATAATCCTGCTGGGATATCGACGGCGCCATCCTTTAGGATGTATTTCCGATAGTTGTTATTCAGGTAGGTACTTTGTTTCATAAAAATATTTACTCGTCTTACAGGTAAGTACATGTGCTACTCGAAAGCGGGCTCCCGAGATCACGAATTACGCTCTGTGGTGCCGTCCTTCGAGTGGCTGAGACCAGGAGACCGGGTGGGACTGAAGAAGACCACAGACCAGCGGGTTCTTGTCTACTACAATTGCGAGCTTATGGACGTGGCATTCGAACGGGTGCCGGATGTTAGTTGAATTCTTTTGCATTCATAAATCAACAACTAAAAATTTGTTATTGCAATTTAATTTTTTTATACTTTACCCACAAAGTTTTATTTAACTTTACACGCATAAATTGCATATGTTTTATAATCCAGACCCGGAACAGTTATTTGTAGTCTAAACAGACTTTTTTCCGTGCGGGATTCGAACCGACGGCCCTGCAGCGGCGCAAATGCTTAAAAGCCGCTGGGTTTCTTGCTGATTCTTCTAAAGACAGGCAGATAGGTTTTATTCGAAGCCAGTGGCTAATTTTACGGATTAAGTAATTTACAGCTTAACTTATTTTTTACTTGCTGATGTTCTGAATGGTTTACAACGTACATGGTAACAGGAATAATGAAGTTTTTTTTTAAACGTTACCCCCACACTAGGATTTTCTCCTGTGTCGTGGAGGCAGTTTACAAACATAAATTGCACAAGGACAAAAATCCAGACCCGGAACAATTATTTGTAGGCCATACAAATATTTGTTCCGTGCGGGATTCGAACCCGCGGCCCCCAGCGCAACAACTGATTGCTATGCCACTGCGCCACGGAGCCGTCAGCCGTTGTTTATTTCATAACGAACCAACAAGTTAAATTAGCTTTATTTCATACCTAACTCATATTCTTTTATTATATTTATGTTACGATAGTGTATTATAAACAGAATAATATATATATATATATATAGGCTATATTACATTATTTTATTATATTTCTAGCTGGACTGGTCCTTAGTCAAATAAATTTATCTTCAAATAACATATTATTACCCCAGAGTTCTTTCTGTAGCCCATAGACATCTACATTTATCCTTGATTAAGTATCAAAATGCATGCGGTGTTTTCATGTATTTTGATTTTTAACCGAGAATAAATATAGATGTTTATGGGCCGTAGCGTCCACTTACCATCAGGTGGACTGTGTGCTTGTTTGTCACCCATATTCTATAAAAAAAAAATATCTATCATGTATAATATTCGAGCAACGTTTCAGAAAGTGTATGTGGTGATGGAACTATTCGGAGAAATTGTGAAGATTCAGGCGGTGACGAGAGGCACCGTGGGCGCTATGCCGCAAACGAGTAAGTTCACTTTACGTCGAGTCGAGCTAGTATAGCGCTATCTCTATCGCACAATTGCATACAAAACAGAAGGACGACTGTAATGCACTACTCTTACATTTACATCTTTTTCTATTAATTCATTCATTCATTCATTACAGCCTCTCAAAAGTCCTCTGCTGGAAATAGGCCTCCCACATAGACTGACTCCTACGGGTATATTTGCCATAATTGCCACGCTTGCAAATGTAGATTGGCAACCTCAATTTTTTACTTTTTAGTTTTTATTAAGACGCTGCGCAACATCTGGTTTGTTTTCCTCTGTCGCCTCTTACGATATCCACGGGATGATGTAGGGAAGGTGGATATTGTGAAAATAAATACAATACCACCTATAATAAATATAACGATATTTTGTTTTCGATTAATATAATCCGTCCGTTTAAGTGCTTCACCAGTGTCGTTAGCACAAACAAATTAAATCCTTTAAACGGATAACGCATCTGTAGACTTCTTTGTTCAGTCATTATCATTATTTCAGCTCGTAAGTCACATCGGTCCGGGAAAAGAAGCTACCATCCCCCACACCACAAAGGAAGCTATATGGTAGCTTCTTTTCACCACACGACTTTTAGGCTACTATGTGCTCTTACCAGATTTTTTGTAAATACTCGTTTGAACGTTTTTTGTTTATTGTTTAGTATATTTAGTTATAGGATATATATTTATTTTAATCGTTATTGCATTCCTTAAAACAAAAGAATACAAAGGGTAGACTTAATCCCTTGCGGTATCCTCTACCAGTCAACCCATAGAGTGGTGAGAATTTGACGTAGGTGTAGCATTATAGAATAAAAGAACACAAAACAAAAATAATAATGAACTTTTTTTTTAATATTCTACTAAGTCAGCGCTTATCTACGATCCCACCTGATGGTAAGTGGTGATGTAGCCTAAGATGGTGAAGCGCACTAACTTAACAAAAGTCTTTTCACTCTTGTCTTGAAGACAACCACACTGTAATCGGATGGAAACACAGATGCTGGCAACTCATTCTACTCCTTTGCTGTATGCATGATGAACGACGTGGCGAACCGTTTGGTTCGAATGCGTGGTAAGTCAACAACGAAAGGGTGGAGACTGGCCGAACGTCTATAACTACATAATATATATATATATATATATATATATATATATATATATATATATATATATTATATACAGGCTGTCCCAGAACTCAACGTCAAGCCGAAACGGGGCGACAGTATTGATTGTAACCATCATGAGAAAAATCAGAAAAAAATCTATCCCATGCAGTTTGGAAATTATGGGCATTTAAGAAAAACCTAGAAATTTGGTCAAACTGTAACCATTTTTCGGTTATTGTGGTTAATTTTTATTATTTTTGTTCGTTTAAACTTTGGAACCGACACCAGAAATAACATTTCTAGAACCACAGTCAAAAATAATGACACAACAGCCCCAAGTTTTCTAGAATTAAGGCTATTTGTTAAACTATGAGTTTAAAATTTTCAAATTTGTCGACTTTGAAAAGCCCTCCTTTAAAAAAAATGTACTAAAGTGCCTTGGCAAGTGCCATTAAAAGTTCGCGCATTTAATCAAGATTGTAAAATGGTACAGTACTTGTTAGTTTCATACTAAAAAATAACTAGTAAAAAAATAAAAACCTCGAGTAACCCGATTTTTGCTAACCCATTTTACTCAGTTCAAATGTTTTTTTTTATTCAAATGTTTTTTGTTGATGTGAGAGATGGATAGTGGACATGTTTGCCATGAGCGACCGAGACAGATAGTGACGCCACTTTTACCAAAGTCAACAAAAGTAAGTAAAATTAATAAAATAATGAAAAATCTTGACCTAGTTTAGTTTAGGTTTATTGGAACAAAAGTCAGATAGGGAAATAACTTTTTTTATTACAATAAATGTTCAAATTGTTTACCATCAGCCTCAATACACGCCCTACATCTCATTAAAAAAGATCTAGTTATTAATCGGGCATATCGTCGAGAGTAGATGTCGGTTACGCTGTCAATGGGCTTTGAATAAACTTTTTCTTTGAGAGCGCCCCAATAAAAAAAAAATATCCAGGGGATTTAAATCAGGGGAACGGGCTGGCCACGAGATAGTGCCTGAACGTCCAATCCACTTTCCCGGATATTCCTGGTCAAGGAAATCTCTTACTTGCACTGCGTAATACGCTGGGCAGCCATCTTGTTGATACCACATTTGGCGACGATCTGTTAGTGGTACGTCCTCTAACAAAGTTAGTAAATTTTTTTAGAGGACGTACAAAAAAAATTTTGGTAATTCGTGCCATTCAAGTTCTCAGGCAACTCAAAAGGCCCAACAATTTTGCCGCTTAAAATTCCGGTTCACAGCTTTACTTTAAAGCGATACTGGGATCTGTCTTCTCGCATTAAATGTGGATTCGCCACATGCCACTCGTGAAAATTGTGTAAGTTTATGTAACCGTCTTTTTTAAATGTAGATTCATCTGACTAGAGAATTTTTTGGATGAATTGGGGATTTTCATTATGCATCTGTAGCATTGTTCTACAAAATGAAATCCTTTTAGGATAATCTCGAGGAAGAAGACTTTGAACTCGTTGTACGTAAAACGGATGCATTTCGGCTCTTTGTAAAATACGGTGTGATTTGCTTTTGGGTATTCCCGTTCTTTCTTCAATTCCACGGAAATACTTGGGTATTCTGCGACCTCTTGCAACACTTCTTCCTCGTATGGAAAGCGAGCTCTACCTCCAGCCCGTATTTGATTCGGGAAATGGCCGCCCTCCGTGAGTGAACGGTGCACATTAACAAACACGCGGTGATCCGGATAGCGCTCTAAATTTGGATATCTTTCATGATAAAGTCTAGCGGCGGCACTTGCGTTGCATCTGCTTTCCCCATAAATGAGGTGCATTATTAGTTCGCATATTCTTGTGAAGTGTAGCGCGTTGGCATGGTAGATAACAAGTATGCCAACACAAAAGTCCAATTCCAAAAGAGAGAAGCCAAAGTTGCCGGTATGTAATCAACAAGTCCAATTCACAAAAATCCAGGTCCAAAAAGAGAAGCCAAAGTTGTCAGTACTAAATCAACACAAGCGAATACGGAAAGGTGCGCAGTAGACGAATGAGTGAACGAAACGTACTATGGTGTCAGACGCATCTCCGTCTCACTGCGTGGCGTCACTATCTTTCTCGGTCACTTATGGCAAACATGTCCACTATCCATCTCTCTCATCATTTTGCCGTAAAATTAAGAACCTACCAAGAGCTTGTGCGAATAAAAAACATTTGAACTGAGTAAAATGGGTTAGCAAAAATCGGGTTACTCGAGGTTTTTATTTTTTTACTAGTTATTTTTTAGTATGAAACTAACAAGTATTGTACCATTTTACAATTCTGATTAAATGCGCGAACGTTTAATGGCACTTGCCAAGGCACTTTAGTACATTTTTTTTAAAGGAGGGCTTTTCAAAGTCGACAAATTTGAAAATTTTAAACTCATAGTTTAACAAATAGCCTTAATTCTAGAAAACTTGGGGCTGTTGTGTCATTATTTTTGACTGTGGTTCTAGAAATGTTATTTCTGGTGTCGGTTTCAAAGTTTAAACGAACAAAAATAATAAAAATTAACCACAATAACCGAAAAATGGTTGCAGTTTGACCAAATTTCTAGGTTTTTCTTAAATGCCCATAATTTCCAAACTGCATGGGATAGATCTTTTTTCTGATTTTTCTCATGATGGTTACAATCAATCCTGTCACACCGTTTCGGCTTGACGTTGAGTTCTGGGAAATCCTGTACCTGTACCGCCACTACGCACGGCCTTGTTATATGATGGTGAATTAACGAACATTAATTTTATGACACTGTGTCAATGTTGCTCTCTCAGTATTTACTTAATATATGCCATATTTCCAGTTTAAAAAAATAAAAGACATCATATTAAAGTAAGACAATTGTAAATTAAATAAATAATTTTCGTACCGTTTTTTTTAAACTATTTGTTGAAAGCCATAGGATAATCATGTATAGATACATCAATACCACACAGCCTCTCAGTATTGTGACTACATATTTCGCGTATACGTCTCTTTTTCCGCGATTTATCAGTTTTTCACAATTAACTTCCAAAATTCCTGCGACTTTAAAAATAATACTATGTAAATATATCAAATATAAATATATATTATATACATTATACATTGTATATCTCTATACAATATGTAACAAAAACCCTGTGGTTCCCCTTGAGAACGTTATCAGAATCATTAATCAAACGTATATAAATAACTTTTTTTAAACTCGAACAATATTTTATTTTATTTTATTTAAAAAAAATGTACAAATTGTATGTGGTTTTAATACCTGTGCATTGTCTGGGGAGTAAGAGGATTGTCAAAGACCCCGCTTTACTTAGCTTTAGCATCGGCTTGTGTCAGTAAGAGGTAATAAAACCACATAAATTTTGTAATAAAATTTAAAAAAAATAGTTATTACTATAGATTTGAATACTGATCCTGATAACGTAGTTAACGAAAACCACAGGGTTATTGTTACATGTTGTATATAAAAATCAATTGCAGTCCGTTAGCTCGCTAAAATTCTAAAATGGCTCGACTGAATTTGGTCAAATTTTTTGTGTGTATTTGAGCGGGTCCCTAGATGGTTTAAATTCTCTATTGAACCCAGTAGGTGGCATTGTTGCTGAGATACAGAAATTACCCTTACCGGGTGGGGGCGTATAGCTAGTTATGAAATAAATCTTATGTTTATTAGATCCCTGCAGTCGGTTTTTTTTATTGTATAAAGGAAAGTGAAATTTCCATCTTTTTGATGCTGGTAAATATACTAACGTGCGAGTTCATAATCAAATAGAACAACGGTAAAACTTAACTGTTACACCCTACCTTTTCAGTTTACAACGAAGACTTTATAAAACGCGAAATGGAGGCCATCCAAGAGATAATGCTCTCGAAGTCGTGTAGTGATGAGGCGCCCGAGGCCAGCATGGAGACCTCCGAGATCGAGCCGATTGAGATCGCCCCCGCACCCGAACCTGAGATCCGGAAACACCGCCAGCCACTGCCGTACACTTTCCACTACGTACACGGAGACAACATCAAGCTCTGCAGCTCTAGTAATTTCATCTCCTTATGTTATACAATACTTAAATGACAAACTAACAGTACACCTGATGGTAAGAGACCAATGCAGTCCAGGGACCCTTGAAGCCAAATTCAAACAAAGAAAGCTAACAGATCCGTTGGCACCACCAAAGAATAAGGATGCTTTTCCACTAAAGATGTGCTATGCTACATTGCTATGGAATTGTTTGATATCCACCAATCATATTCATTGGTTCATATAGCTTAGTACTGCTGGAAACAGGTTCAACTAAGCTATGTGTTTTATATGGATGGATGCGTGCTCTAGATGCGTGCTATGGATGGTCGCGAGTGGTGTAATTATGTACCGAGCAGTTCCCCGTGCCTTCCCTACTGTCGAGACATCGCATAGCTCGAGCTGCGCATCTTCCTCGCACAGTTACAACGCGGCGGTGGATCTTCATAGCACATCTTACTCGCCCCGCTTCATAGCTTAGCATTAGTGGAAACGCTCACATAGTTTCATAGCTTAGCTTTCACATCCTCCCAGCATGTCTGCAAAGCACATCTCTCTGATGGAAAATCACCCTAATACCGAAGGCTTTACAGCCTGTAATTACAGTAGCTCTGTACTCTTCAGACTGGAACCGGCAGTAGATGCACTGCCGCTTTGTGGCAGAAAGAGCAGTGCATCTACTGCTGGTTCCAGTCTTCCAGTACAGCAGTAGATGCACTGCTTCTTGATAGCAGAAATAGGTAAGAGGGTGGTAACTATCCAGATCCAATCCCGGCAAAATCCTCGCAAAAGAACACCGATCTAAAATAATTTGTAATTTGTAACAAGTGCGTCCTATGCTGGTCAGAACAAAAATGAAGCCTTTTATTGTGAATATGAGTCTTTTGGTCCATAAATACAAAATTCGTTAGTAACTTAATTACAGCGCTACCTATCGTATCCCAGAGTAACATCGTGTCGACAAAACTAATATATTGTGTGAATATGACCTCAGCCAATCAAGTCGTTTAGAGGCTACATATGTATGTATGCATGTATATACATACATACACATATACAAATAAATAAAGTTGAAGTGTCTGTTTGTAATGTCGAAATATATTATAGAAATTAACCATTACAATGTTTTCATATATATATTAGAAAATAAAAGCGTAGAGTCGCATGCTAAGAGCGTTTGCGATAAAACCAAGCAACAATAATTATCTTTCAAGTTAACCTACTAAGAATAAGACTTATAAGTCATGTTTTTTTTATAGGATCATAAACGAGCACACAGTCCACCTGATGGTAAGTGGTTACTGTGACCCATAGACATCTACATCTATCCTCAATAAAGACTCAAGATGCAGATGCGTTGTCACCCGTGAGGACTAAGATGGAATGCCTCTTTGCCAGTAAAAAGGGTCTCCGGTTCTCTACACTCACCATACGAAAAACACCAGCGTTAAGCTGCTATTTTACGCTGGTATTCTGTGAGAGCGTGGTCCTTCCCCGGTCGAGCCGACCCATTCGTGCTACAACCATAATATAGCTGCAGCATGGCTCTACCACGTATAAATCCTCGTATCGATCATGAAACTATCCGAATATACACATATAGAATAGATATATAGAAAAATATATCCGCTTCAGTGGTACCACTCATTGAATTTAAAAAACAATCTATATATATTTTTACAATTTACAATTAGGCACCCGGTTGGTGGCGCTATTGTCGAGATCCGGTAATCACTCGTGCGAATCCGGGACAGAGGATTATCGCTAATCGCTATTATATTTATAAAGGTGCAATGTGTTGCAACTTGCAGATACTGTGGCGGTGCGTACATCGGGTTACAAGGATGGCGTCGCCATTGTCAGCCAACCGCTTAGAAGAGGACAGAGCTTCAGGGTATGTTCCACGTCTCCTATCCAAACACATTGATCTTCTTTTTAGCAGACTTTAACACTAGGAAAATATTCTCAATACGACGACGTTATTTTTTTGTTGTTTATACGTTAATATCTTTGTCAATTGTGAACCGATTTTAATAATTCTTTCTTATTAAATAGGTTATAATTTAAGGATGGTTCTATATAAAATTTGAAGAGTAAATTCCATGCCTAAGAGCGGCAAAACAAGGTATCAAATTTAGAGTGCTACTATTTAGGGAATATTTAAGCTTGTTTTATTCCTTTTTTTTCAGTCAAAAATATCGAAAAATTAGGTTGATAATAAAAAATAAAAGCTGGCTTCAAAGAACTAACATAAATAAAATTAAACATTTTCAAAACCCCCGCTACAAAAAGAGCTGATGATCTTCAAACGGTTGAACAGGTTTTCTTAAAACATAGCTAAGAACTTTCGAATAAGGCACCGTCCGGTTCATCCCTTCAGGAGCTATGATGCTACATATACATAGATACACACTACAAACATATAACACCCCTCTTTTCGGCGGTTAAAAAATGAAATTATTTCCACATAAAAGCTTCAGAAGTCAAGGCTAAGATGTAGGCTGGTATTCAAAGACAATCTCGTATGTAAACATAAACACTGTAAACATTGTATTGTATAAAATATTATATAGAACAATTGATGTCCGTTAGTCTCGTAAAGGCTCGAAAACGGCTCGACCGATTTTGATGAAAGTTTTTGTGTATGTTTGAGTGGGTCCCTGGAAGATTTAAACACTTTTTAATTGGCCGGGTAGGTGGCGCTGTTGTCCAGATCCTGAAATCACCCGTGCGAATTTGCTGAAATCGCACGGGTGTTATTTTGCGGAAATCCATTGTACTAAAGATTATAAAATTGTACTTAAGTACTTATTATCAGTCCCGTTTAATGATTTATGTCACAAAAATGTACAATGTACAATGACACAACATGTAATTTACATTTTATCAAAATACAGATGTGAAAAATTAATCACCTAAGATTTGTCTAGTAAAATAAATTTATGTGTCTGTGTCTTAATCCCAGAGAATTTCACCTGATAATGCCCCGTATAGAGACGAAACTCGTATTGTATTATCGACGGTGGTGAGTCATTGTTAGTGTAGTGATGATGGGTATTGTGCACGCAATTGAGGGAGGGCGGGAGATGCTCTTCAAACTAGGTAAGACACGTCATTTAATATTACTACGCGGACCTTAGCTTTTAAAAGTTTTAACATATTTAAAACACTTTTACCCAACTGGCCCAGAAGGCAGAGGTAATGTTTTTGTGTATGTATTATGTCTGTTTTTTGGAACGCTCTATAGCCCAAACGGCTTGATTGTCTTTAACATAGGTGTAGTTAGATTCCTCTTCGTTGTTGAAGTGACATATTGTATGTTTATCCTTCGTTGCTTGAAATAACAATTACTTGGTAAAAATAGTTCGTTTTCTCTTCTCAAATAAGCTCAAAGCGGATTTTAGATAACTTATTTATTTATTTAGTAATAATCATTCTCCCGATGCATGTTTAGGCAAAAACGCTCGAAGACATGATTTGGAAGCTCTAATTTATAGATTCTATTCAATATCGACCATCAAAAAAAAATTATATCTCAAATATCCTACACTTTAATAATTATAGAATACATTTTCGTTATATGCCTTTCACGCTATGAAAAAAATATATACATAATTCAAAAAACGACCGAAAAAGCTTCGATACAAGCCTCTATATTTCCGAAGTTCTACGTCATTTAGACGTAAAATTTATACCAAAATAATCATCAACATTTGCTTAAACTATACTATTATTTTTACTTTTTAAATCTTTACTATTATATTTTAATTAATTAAATAAAAGTACCATATAGGGTAAGCAGTATAATGATTGGCACTTTAAGCGGATTTCTACTTGTAAGTGGTTAATTCTCGTAAATAAACAAATTTGTTATATTTTTTATCGTTTTGTTGGATTTTAGTTTAGATAGACATAAATAAAATAACTCATTACGTTTAAAAATAAATGTTTAATTAAGTTAAAAATCTAATTAAACTTTTTTCTAGGGAATGTTACAATCATTGGCACTTTAGCATAGTGAGTGGCACTGTAAATTAAGTATAATCATTGGCACCATTGGAAGTCTTAAAAAGTTATACCCAGATCTTTCTAAGCTCCATCTTATTGTAATAACACTTATTTTGAACAAATCTTCTTCAAAAATTTTCCTTAGATCTTCATCTGAAAGCGGTTTCGTTTGTCTACCATGTTTTATTCTTTCTTCGTATACAGTTTTGATGTGATGTGTTTTTAGTAAAACCTTTCGTATTTTCTCGATATTTTGTAGAAATAGAACTTTATTTCGGTATTTTAGATTGAACATTTAGAGAGTATTATAATGTCAGTTTTTGGCTTTGTTCGTCTTGTTTTGTTTGTCTGTTTGTTTCTATATTTGGCTAACTAATTCAATTCTGCATTTTCCATTTGTGCCCCATTTTTCCATTATTTTTTTAGCTCCGCTGCTTCCGAATCTTAACGTGTTAGCTCAAAATAACGGCGTTGTTGGCGGCAATAACGGCAATGGAAAAAACTCTATAAATATTTTTAGGGCTTTCTAAAAGATTTTAGTTTATTTCGACATCCACAATCACCCATTCACCTCCAACAAATTCTAAATTTGCTGCCTAGTTGATGAAAAACATAAAGGTTATTTTTCTTTCTGATACTCAACAATAATCTCTGCAGGTTATATACGCTCTGGTACTGATAAACCATTATTAAGTGAAAGGATACAAGGCAAATTTGATACAGGTATTTCTGATTCAGTCGTTATTAGTCGTTATTCTTAAAATATTAGGTAATTCGGCGTAATGACACGGAACGGTGATCATCTAAAATGGCTTGCTGTGATTTCGAGGGCGCCGGACACTTTGTTTAATCCACTTTGTCTGGACTAAATGGGCACAACCCACATGTCTCAAAACCATTTCATAATGTAGATTTATTTCAATACAGTAAAAGTCTTGTTAATATAGGCCCGCATCTCTTTTACTAACCTTTTTGGCAATTGTTTGTCCGTCATGCGAAGACAGGTTTACGCCACATATCTTTGGTGGGCCGAAATGCAGTGATATCAGGTGATTGCAATAGTCGCGTTGCATTCAAGTTAAGGGCTATAAGTATTATGGCGAGACTTGGGCAAAGTTGTGCCGTATTTAAGATAGTAAATAACCCTCTATTAAGGCACTAACTTTTGAACGTCTGATCACATTTTCTATAGGGGGAAAATAATAGGTTTTACCGTCTACTCCAAAGAACAGTGATGCAAGATTTCGATTAGGCGTGATCCACCTCATAGACGTTTTATTTTCCCTCTATAAAACGGTTTAGTATGTATGGGGTATTTATTCAAAAACCTCACATGATTGTTATTTTTATGACATCGAAAACTGTGCCAGTACCAGGTCGGCTTTTCAGCTTGTTAGTTTTTTTTACTTTACTTATTTAGTGGGAACTATAAATTCGCGAGTGGAATGTTAAATGTTAGTGCGGCAGTTATTTTTCTAAAACGCCCGCTTTTAATAGAAGTATTCTTCATCAATTCAAAATATGAAAAAGTTCAGTCATAATCATTGGCACTACTCAAAGGATATAGTCATTGGCAGTGTCAAGAATAGATTTTGGACAAAAGAAAGAAAGTATAGTGATTGACATATATGCCAATGATTATGTAGTCAAACAAAGTAAAGTATAGTCATTGGCACAATTAAAAAAACCGATGCTTCTATTTCACAGCAATAAAATAACGTTTAATATGCTTTAATGACGTAAATTGATAAAAATAGACAGAAATTTGCATATAAACTTACTTAAAAATTACATTTTTGTCTCAAAATGTAGCCACAAACCTTAACTTTTTGTTAAATTTTAACGGATTTGTCCGCACACATTTTTAAAACAGCCCTTATAGGAAAATAGTTGACGCTTTAAATATAAATGTGTATTGTTAGTATAAGTAATTATATATATTAGCAATATCTGTGTTGCTGTGATATAGAAAAAGGAAAACATTCTTAATATTCAGATTAAAATAGCAAAGCGCCAATCATAGTAGGAGTGCCAACATTAGTATTGTTTACCCTATTTCACTGCGCCGGCCATCTGCGTTCACTATCGCGTGAGCGCTTGGCGAGATTGGACCTGCGTCAGTTGATTTCGCGCGCTGAGTCGTTTCGATACTACCGTAGTGTGCATCGATTGCTATCGTAGTGTGCGTCGATTGCCTGCGTGCTATAGCATCGTCAACTACGACCGCAATTTTTGATCGATCGGCTTAAAACTATTTTATATAGTTATAATTTAGATCACGTCTCTTCCATTAAACATGGTAGGGACAACGAGTCTGTAGCATTGGCACAATTGGGCAAACAAGAAAATATTATTATAGAAAAATGTGGTCTATTCATTGACCTAATGGTTTATACAGTGACGGTCTTATTGAAGTTAAATGTCCTATTTCAGCTTTCGGAATAGATTTTGACACGGCCTTTCGACCGAAAAAAAGTTAAAGGTTATAAATTCAGTGATTCAAGTGTAACATTAAATCAAAATAATGACTGGTTTTACCAAATCCAAGGCCAGCTTCATTTAGCAAATAAAAATGTCATATTTTTATTCCGAAAGCTGAAATAGGACATTTAACTTCAATAAGACCGTCGCTGTATAAACCCTAATAGGTCAATGAATAGACCACATTTGCTATAATATGTACTAGCCCATATTATGCAGTAAAAGTACTAAAAATTTACAAAGACAACCAATTTTAGATTTTCAATACGTTACCCAATTTACAAGCATTTTATGAAAAGTGTGTACTGCCTGAAATTATCGAATCGAGAAAAGTTCGGTCAATGCCGTCGCAGCAAATATTTTTCTAATAAAAAATATGGTAATTGACTGTAAGTACCGATTAAA